AAAACCATCAATTCACATGCAAACCAAATGACTGAAACAGTAATGGACAACTCTTCCTGCGTACTAACTCTTGCACTGCTCTATAGAATTTGCAAGCATGACATCCTTTAGTTCCCACAAGAATGCCTTTTCAAAAGAGAAATCAAAGAAGAGGTTACAGAGCTTGCAGAAGTTAAGAGGTGAGGTAACAACAGGCATGTTGTGTGAAAGTCACCTCCTATGTTACAATGTGGAATAACATCAGAGGCACAGCAGAGGAATCAAATCCCCTTCATCTCAACTCTAAGAACTTTGTTGAACTTTCTTTTTTCCCTGAGCTATTAAAATTTTCTTTTTTCTTTTTTTTTTTTTTTTAAGATTTATTCCAACATACAGAACTGGGGTACAGGCCAGAGGTGTGGGGCCATGAGAGGATCCACCAGGGACAGAGTGGGGGAGCAGAACAGGCCGAGTGACGACGTACACTGCTGAGGGAGCAGCGGGCAGGCCAGGAGAGGTCTGCCATACCATGTGGGTCACCTCTAGGGCGGGGGTCAAACTCATACTGAAGCACTGTGGCCAGCTTGTACTGCTGTGCTTTAACGGGCTGTGCCACCAGGGAGGGCCGAGCTATTAAAATTAACTTCTCCTTAGCCCCTGGAGCTCTACCTGCGCCACAGCTCTTCAGCAGTCCAAGAGGGCTCTTTCTAATACCAGCTCTCACACTATTCTTCCTCAATGATAAACCCCTCAGTGCTGAAATCCTAACTCCCTGGAAAATGCAGTGGTCTCTTACTGATGGAACAACAATATGTCTTAATGATGGAGCCACTAGACTATTAACACTTTATTAACCTTTGCAGCTTTGGCTAATATATTTGATAAATTAATGACTGAGCTCAAACTTGAAACCTCACTCAGACTTCCAAATTCATCTTTCTTTGTTCCCCTCTCACATGACAGGCCCTACTTCTAACCCTTCATTCCGCTATAGATCACAACCTCTGTGAAGGGAAAGCACCATTTCCCCACCCCACTTAGATGCAGTTGCCTAGACTACAAGCCCCAATGTGCCATGAACTGGACTGAGTGGGGAGCTACGGGGAACAGGAGCAAAGCTGAGCGGTTAGGGGGATTTAAACAACATGGAAGGCAGGCAGGAATGTCTCTCTTGTTTCTGCAGTCCAACTCACACCCTGGTACAGCAGAAAGAGATTTGGAGGAGAGACACAGAGCGACAGAAGAGAAACTTGGAAGAAGCACACAGGGAAGTGGCTTGTGCTCCCTGGTGTGATATTTCCTTCTGCCCCAACACACTGAGACCTGCCTAACCCTTTTCTAGTAGTTTCTCATCAGAAGGTACCTTAAATTTGTGGCAAGCTGCCCTCTCTGTAGCACAGATTGAAGCGCAACACTGTAAGCTGGCTGCAGCCACTTGGGTGTGAGTTCAATCCCTGCCCTGGGTGTGATCCATATGGTACAGCAGACCTCTTCTGTCTTGCCCACTGCTCCCCTCAGCAGTGTACTTCATCAATCTGCCTGTTCTGCCCCCAACTCTGTCTCTGGTGAAGCCACTCAATGCCCCTGCACCTCTGGCCTGTACCCAGTTCTGTATGCATAAATCTTAAAAAAAAAAAAAAAAAGAATGTGATGTATAGTACAATTTATTAAATCACTGAGTACAGGCCTTTTTAACATCAGACAATGAAACCATAGCATTCATAAAACACCTCTGCTGCTTACCAAAGAATGCCAGTTGTCTCGAAAAGTCCTGTAATAGTCGAAAAGCTGCTAGGAGATGAGGAGTGAACAACGCCCCAAATTCACACAGGATTGGAAGACACTTAAATTCCATCCTGTTTGAGCTGTAGACTAAACGAACTGTTTTTCTCATAGAATCCACTTTTTAATGGCTATTCAGACTTGGCAACTACCAGACATATTCTTGAAAATGAACAAAGTGGGACTGTCATTTCAAAGACAGCACTATGTGCTGCCAATACTAAAATGAGAGTTTGAAAGAAAAAATGTGAATTTTGAAAAGTGGGCGCTCAGCATTATGAGTTTGAGAGCTGTTATGACTTTTCTAGTGAGTCCAGCAGCTATTTTATTTGCAGTCTCTTAACATCTTTCCCCATTATTCTGGTATTTTAGTGTTAGTCCTCCCATTAAGACTGTCAGTGTATGAAAGGAGGAAGTACTTCACACTTGGCTGTGTTCTCTTTAAGACTAGTACCAAAGTTTACACACATCAGATATTGCATAAGTATCTGCTGACTCTCTTATCATTCTGACTCCTGATAGTAGCTAAAATGTGCATCAAATGGGGTTCATAATTATTGCAGGCTCCTGGTGACTCTCAAAGTTTTTTAGCACATTTCTTTCTTCAGATAATTTGCTCATTTCTTCCCCTCATTTAGCCCATTCTGACAAATGCAAAATTGAGTTATTTGTTGCAAAATAAATCAAAATAACGTAGATACATAATTCTTTCTTTTAACAAGTATCTACTAACCCTCTGTAGCTTAAAAGCAGAGTCCGGCAAAACATGGCTGGACTCAGAGACAATATCTAACAGCATCTGTTGCTAATGATAAAATGAGAGATTTAGAGAAAAAATACAGCCACACCCACTCATTAGGGATTGCATCTGACAGCCACTGCACCCCAGCAGTACAGCTGCCACACAGCAGTGGCGACAAGAGATTGCATGGCCCACCAAGCTGAAAATATGTGCTCTCTTGTCCTTCACAAAAACTTGGCTACTTCATGCTTCAGAGCATGAGCTTGCAACAAACGGCACTGCATTTCTTTTTAAATTACAGAACATGCTATGTTTGCACCCAAATATACTTCTCACTTTAAAAAAACTAAACAAATAATTCTAGAACTGTATAGCTTAAACACTGGGGAATCTTCAAAGCAAATCCTGAAAAAAACAAATCTGACCCGTCCTCAGGAAATTTATGCTTCAGCTTACTGCTTGAGATTTCTTAAGACTGTTATCCAGAGTTACCTCCAAAGCCAAATACCTATCATTATCAAAAATGGTCAGGGTGGGCAGGGTAAAGCCATATAGGGCCACTCATTAGGAAGAATGCCAACCATGAATGAGTAACTGGAATGGAACTGGCCCTCTTGCCATGAACTAGAGAGCTGGACAAAATATATGAAACACTTGCTTGCATACAGTGTGACAACAGGCAGAGTAGAGTTGTAATTACTGCAAAAAAAAAAAAAAAAAGTGACTGATGTCTTCCTCTTTCCAAGCAGAGCAGCATGGTCTTGAAGGACCTTGAGACACTGACTGGAATTCAGGGAGACTGACGCAGAGCACTGGAAGGGAAAGATGCAGCGAAAGCTCTCAAGGCATCTGCACAGGGTTCTCCTTGAATCTGATGCTGAAACCTAATCTGTTCAGGATCAACTGCTAGGAAATACAGAGTGAACAACACCCCAAATTCACGCAGGATTGGAAGACACTTAAATTCCATCCTGCAGAGGCAAACTATTCCACTCTAAGTAAGCAACAGAGGCTCCCAAAGAGTCAAATTCTGTAGCAAACCTAAATTAGTCCTAAGATGAGCTATCCTAGAATCATCCTAACAAAGTTTTACAAGCCTAGAAAGCCTAATCCATAAATTACTTGGCTGCCTGCCAAAACAAATCCCAACACTTTTTAAAGGAAGACAACAAAATCCAAACACTGAATAATACAATGCATTCAATGACCTTGTAAAGAAGCAATAAGAGACAAAGATAACAGAATTAGAGACAAAGATATTAAAACAACAATTATAGATATGTGTGATAAATTCATGAATACAGAGGAAGACAGGAACCTAACAGAAAGAGAAACAGATGGTAGAATTAAAACTCTATTCAATTCTTTATGTCTTCAAGAGCTGAAAACACAGTACTTGAAATTAGAAATTCACTGAATAGATTTAACAACAAATTAAACACTGGAAAACAAAACTAATAAATTTGAGACAAACAGAAGCTATTCAAACTGAAGTCAGAGAGGAAATTATCTCAATGGAAGATTGGGGAAAAATAACCAAGTCTCAGTGACATGGATATTATGAAGCAGTCTAATGTACATGTAAATGGATTCCCAGAAGAAGAGGGAAAAAAGAAATAGGAAGAGCATTTGAAAAATAATTAGAAAATTTTCCACTTTTGGCCAACACCAGAAAGCCATAAATCCATAAAACTCAAACACCAGAAATAATAAACAAATTGACCAAGGTATAGCACAACCCAGTTGCTGACAGCTAATGATTTACAAAGAAAACAAAAAAAATGACATTGCTCTCTCACCTCCATAAAATGTCAACTAAAAACAGCTCTAGTCCAACGAAAGCAAATAACAGGCTTCTAGAGCTTCTGATCAAAAAATGTTGGTTAAGTACATCAAAGTGAAGTTTGGAGAGGCCAAAGGGGAATGTCTAAAGGATGATAATGTGGGAAAAAATAAAAGCAAAAACTCTGCATTAACTGTAAAGAATAATATTATGCATGCGACCAGTCACAAATGTTAACAGATGATTTTTTTTTCCAGAAGATGATCTTTATACTAACAACTTTTCACAGCAAAAGGCAACTACTTTACTTCATCACTGTATCATAGTCTTTAAGTTTACTTTGTGGATTGTTGATGATAATGAATAGTAGTAAAAAATTAATGAGGGTTAACATTTTCATAATCCAGTTTTATATGGTATGCCTCGCAAATGTCACATACTTTCCTGAATGCTCCTTGAGGTGAGAAACCTTTGTGGTTGAGTCCACACATTTCCAGTGTGGTTTCAAGTGGCACAGAACCATGTGAAGGCATGTAAATTTAGTCAGTCTCATTTCATACTCAGGACATTCCTCAATGGTATGTAACCAGATGTCTATTGGGAATAAGTGATCACTCCAAGGTTCCTTACGTGGTGAACAGTATCTTGCTAGAGCAGTGCACCACCCAGGATTCCATCAAAGTAGACATACAGTGAGTTCTAATTACTACTTACTCTGAGTTTCCACAAGATCCAAAGCAACACTAGAAGCGGTATCCATTCCAGAGCTGATGCAGGACTGGAAGTTTCTTAAGGAGGAGAGAGCAGATTCTACACCGCTGAATGATATGAAACCAGTTGAACCTGAATTTGAACCGGAACGCCCTGGCATCGTGAAATATTACCTAAGGTTTGAAACACAATGAAACAAGATTTGAGTCAGAATAATAACTGCACAGGAGGATGAAAGTGCCGCAAACACCCATGAGTGTATCTTCTAACGATAGCTACCCCATTGTTACCTACCATTAGTATTTCTTAAGAGAATACCAAAGCCCCCTGCTATTATCTGGCCCCTCAATACATTTACATTTAGCAAATGGGGAAAATAACAGTCTTCAGTTCTTCACATTAATCACTTTTTAATCCCTATCTTCCACCGCCCACTATAAGCTCTGGACCTCTCATGTAAAGCTGCCTTCAAAGATGCCTTTAATTCAAAAACACCTGGATTTGAATTCATTGAAACCTACTAGAAAACTGAAGCAAATTTACACAGGCATTGATGGATGGGAAAGCTGTTTGGTAGTAAAGAAAAGAAAAAGATTTTTTTAAATAATATCAATATAATATTGCTGAGTAGCCTGGAGCAGATGGCTTAACATCTCAGGACCTCAAGCTTCTCATCACTAAGACATCTGTTTTCTCAGTGTGGTCTAATGTGGTCTAATGCACCGTATACTTTTTTCTATTTATTTATTTTTACATCCTTCTTCATTTTGTTCATATTTTCATCTCAGTTGTAATCCCTGTGGAGTTCCCACCACCAATTCGCCCATGTACACAGTATACTTTTTTTATTTTTTTTTTTATTTTTTTTTTTTATTCATACAGATCTGGGGTACAGGCCAGAGATGCGGAGGGCGAGAGGATTCACCAGAGACAGAGTGGGGAGCAGAACAGGCAGATCAACGAAGTACACTGCTGAGGGGAGCAGCGGGAGGGCCAGGAGAGGTCCGCCACGCCACGTGGTCACCTCCGGGGCAGGCGGGGATCGAACCCATGCGGAAGTGGCTCTAGTTTGTTAGTGCAGCGCTCCAACCCGCTGCGCCACCAGGGAGGGCCCACAGTATACTTTTAATCAGCACAAGCCCCTTCCTTCTGGTCCTTTCTTGCACGGGGAACTGTGTCTGACATTTCCATCCTTCTATTGCTACCACCTTCCTCTCACACCTGGACTACTATGATAGTTTCTCAATTATTTGTCCTTTTTAATTGGATTCATTCATTCATTTATTCAACAAATAGATACTGATGGTCATACCATGCTCAATCACTAGATTCAACAAGACAGGGAACAAAATGTGAGGCTCAAAGAAACTGCCTAAGAAGCTGATCATAGTTTGAGATGTTAGGTTACTGCTAACACCCACAATAAAATTCATTTTTGGATCAAACCATTTGGTTAGCAAATCTTCAATATGTTTGGGAGCACAGGGTACAGGGTCTTAAATGCAGGATAAAGACTGGTCTGGCTGGGTTGAGGGTAGTCAAATGGACTACCCTTTTTAGCTTTATCCATTTTTTAAAATTATCTTAAAAAATCAAGACCTAAAGCAAATTGGCAATTGGTCACAGAGTGTGAAAATCCAGATGATGGAACATCAGTTCTCATCCTGTGATTTTCCATGGTATTATAATTTCACATGAAGAAAGTGAGAGAAAATATGATTTTGACTATAAATGAAAACCTAACAACGGTTTGAACATATGCATTTTAATACAATAAGAGTGTTTATTTATCTTATGATATCATACAAGTTGAGATTTTACACAATATAAATTCAAACACATAAGATGGGAAAATATAACATAAAAATCAGGATAAAAAAAGAGATTAAGGAATAAACCGAGTAGATGAGAATATTGGAATGCAATCATACAGTCTTCAGGCTTTCCTAGGATTCTACACCATGCACCATACTATACTTGTAAATACACGCTTGGCTATGAGCTTCAGAAAAGCAAAACAAAAGTGAAAGTTAACAGAATTCTTTCTCCCCTAAAATAAAATAGACCAAGAACTTAGGAAAAATAAGGCTTCCATGGCAATCAAGGCCACATTCAGCATCACATATGAGCCGGCAGGAACCAGACGGGAAAAAAACCTCAGTGCACCCCGGGTCCAGCTCCGGGCTGCTGCTAGGATGGCTGCTTAGCTGACGCCCCAGGGTAAACCAAGGAAGGACTCTGGGCACAGGCGGCCCCGTGTCCAGCAAACACATTTCCGCTTTACTCTCAACAAGATACTAAGACAACCTTGCAGTCAGGTCTGGCCACAGGGGTGAATTCAACAGAAGGAAATAAGGTCCACTTTCATAAAAACCACACACTACCTCCACACTTGCTCCCACTGGACAGCTTGAAACAAGCAGTGGCGTTAGAAGGCATAAACTAGAGAGAGAGGATCATTAGAGGGAAAGAGCACAGGATCCTACATCAGTGCGTGGAGGGAAACTGCCCAGACAGCATGCCCCTTGCTTAACAGAACTAAAAATTTGAATTGTGCAAAACCATTTAGACTTGGGGCTGCATTTTGTTATAACACCAACTATGCTCTAAGAAGCAAATCATATGGCTCAGCTATTCCATTTTCTAGTCAATCTTGATTTCAGTGGAAGTCTAAATTATTTAGAGCAGCACTGCTCAACAGAACTTTCTACCATGATGAAAATGTTCTCTAATCTACCCTGTGTAATACACTAGCCACCAGGCCTGCATGACTATTGATTGGTAGTGATTGTGAAGAATCTATGACTACTGATAATCAAAAGAGTGTGATCACTGAAATGGTTAGTGTAACTGAGGAATTGAATTTTAAATTGTATTTAATTATAATTAATTTAAACTTAAATAGTCGTATGTGCCTAGTGACTGCAGCATATTCTTAGAGGCACAATTTTGAAAGTGTGTATAATTTGAACCAGGAGGCAAAGTCACAGTATAAACAGGACTACATGAGCTCAAAGTCTGATTGTGTCACTTAAATAACTGAGTGATTTTAGGCAAATTATTTAACCTCTCACTTTTCCCTTCTATAAAATGAGGATGACCCACTGCTACCTCGAGTAATACTGCAAAGATTAAAAGATTTAATGTATAATAAAACACTCAGAATAATGTCTAGCACATACATCTTTGGAGATGAGAGAAAATAATACCATCAACTTCATCATGATCACCCTGGGAGCAGCATTATAGAGCAGTGCTTAAGAAATGGACACTGGCCAGATGCCTGCAAGCACCATGCTGTTCACACTCAGAAAGGCACAGCCCTGGATTAACCGCTTTGCAAACCTCTCAATCTTCAACATGCCCTGTGTAAAAAGGAAAGAATTCTACTTCTCTTATAACATTACTGTAAGGATAAACTTCATTTTGTAGCTTTCTCAAACTAGCCAGACCTCAAAAGCCAGTCAAAATGCTTACTAAAAATACAGATTTACAGACAGTAGTTCAGACCGACAGAACCAGTCTCTAGCAGAAGCTCCAAGGCCACTATTTTTTTGAAGCACTCCAAGTAATTCCTGGCATGGAACAAGTACGGAAAATACTGAGATAATTGTGTGTCCCCACACTTAGTTAAGATGTTTAAACCCCGATGAGATGATAACTGGAGAAGGGCCTTTGGAAAACAGGTGTAGATGAGATCGGGGGGGGGAAGCACCCTCATGATGGCGTGAGTGTCCTTATTAGGACAGGAAGGGAAGGGATAGTGGGGCTCACTCACTCACTCTACCTCCACCATGTGTGGCTACAGGAAGAAGTCACAACTGGTTAAAACTTCCACAGCCACTGCAGCACCAGTCAACCCCCGCCAGGGAGCTGGCTCACATGGCGCAGCAGACCTCTCCTGTCTTGCCTGCCGCTCCCCTCAGCAGTGTATTTCAGTTAATCCGCCTGTTCTGTTCCCTACAGTCTCTGATGAACTTCCCACCCCCTGCAACCCTGTTCTTGTATGCATAAATAATTCTTTTAAAAAAAAAAAAAAGGAGAATGGATGATGGATGGAAAGAAAGATGGTGTATGCACTTGATCCTGTCTCTCCCATGAAGCACAGCTAAGTACATAATTCTCAGGGCAGCGCCCACAGCAAAGACTTATATCCCCAAATCACTGGTGCAGCGGTTGAAACCACGGTTTCTATCAGCATCCTCTCAGAGCCATCCCCAAGTAACAATGATCCATTTGTTCCCTGGACCAATGGTCTCCAAGAAAGTTTAAAATAACATTATGCATTCTCCTGAGTTTTTGCACAGCATGCTATTTTGCTTCCCCTAACTGGCTTTATCTTAGTCCGTTGGGGTTGCTGTAACAAAACACCCCACACTGAGTAGCTTAGAAATAACAGAAACTTATTTCTCACAGTTTCTGGAGGCCAGGGAGTCAGGCGTGGTCACATTCTGACAAAGGCCCTCCTCTTGAGGTTCACGGCCAGTGTTCTTGCTCTGTCTTCCTTCACATGGTAAGAGGAGGCTGCTTTCTGGAGCTTCCTTTTTAAAGGCACTGTTCCCACTACCCTTTATCCTCAAGCCCTAAGCACCTCAAGTCCCCACCTACTAATACCTTCCCGCTGGCATTAGGATGTCAACACTCAGACCTCATAGCAGGCCTCTATCTCTGTGGGCAGAGCCAATTAGTTAATGCAGAAATAAAAACACTTCTGCATTTTCCCTCCTTTCTGTTGGCACAGGGCAAACAATTTCTGGACCCTGTGCTGACCCCCTTTAAATCCATCGGGGCCTATACAGTATAATTAAGCCAGAGCTGTATCTTCCTTTTTCAACATGCCAGATTCTACCTTCCTTTAAGATTTCTCCATTCAAGCCACTGGCAGTTCCCTCCCTCACTCTCACTCTCTCTCACTCACTATTATTAAACCCATCACAACTGCCACTCCATCCTGACTTCTTCTACACAACTTACAATGGCTCTTCACAAAACAAACAGGTGATGCTAAAGATCTGGTGAGAGTGACAATAACAGAAACCACCCTTTCTAGGTCCCCCAGGTGCCAAACACTGGTGCCCTGTGTTTCCCTCACGACCATGTACAAAAGAGAAAAGAAAACGGCCGTCCAGCGACTTTCTTTGAAGCACCCTCCCCAGGCCCTGCCTGCAGTCAGTTCACACCAGATTGATTTGGATCAAGAATGGGTCATCTTTTGCGCACACACTCAGGGCTGAAGGATGCCGCGACGGTGTCTGGAGAGGAGAAGGAGGCAAACTGTCCCAGCCTCTCAAAGTTGAGACGTGAAGAGAACCAGGACCCGAAACCTGGGCGCCAGACCCCAGCTCAGGGCATCTGCGGGACGTCCACGAGGGAGGCGACGCCTCCCGCCACCCTCCCCGTCGCCCGCCTCGGCCTTACCTGGCAACCCCACCGAGCGCCGTCCGATCGCACCCTGACTGGCCCACTCGGACCCCAACTCCTCCCTTAACTCCTTTCCCCAGACGCTGAAACTGGCGAGCGCGGGCTCTGGCGTCATCAGCCGTCGCCGGCGGGCGGTCACATGACGCCCCGCCCAGCTCACCGCCCCCTTGGTCATGTGACGGCCGGTGGCAGGGGCGGAAGCCGGGGGCCAGCCCGCTCGTGATCCGGGGCTGGGACCACAAGGGGTCTCCCGTGGAGAGGGAGGGGTGGGCGTCCGGTGCCGACCCAGCGCGACGCCGGCCCTGCGCGGGCGCCCTGGTGCGGCCCGGTGACAGGTGAGTCGGGTGGGGTGCGTGCCCTCCTTTCCCTTCCCTTCTTCCCCTCCCCCGCCCGGCTCTGGGCCCCGCGAGCCGAGGGGGCTTCCTCGGCGTGCGCTGGGATCCGCCTGGGGGAGCGGGGCCTGCGGGACTCGGGGGCTTCCCGAGGCTGGGGCTACAGCCCCGGCTCAGGTCTCCACTTGGGAGGATTGGTTTTGTGCGCCGCTTTGGCGCTTTGGGAAGTGATGTGCAGCTGCATCGGTTCCTTGCAAGTTTCCGGGAGCGATGATGTGTGGACTCTGTTCCTCCTCCCTGGACGCTCGAGAAAACTGAGTGGTTAGTGAGCTTTTACAACCTTACGGACCGGGGTTTGCGTTCTAGTGCTACGGTAGGTTCTGCGTTTGGGCGAGTCCTTACTCCTCTCTGCACCTGAATCTCTTCACTGGTGACATGCTGGTGCCAAAGTCCTTTGTATTTCGCAAAGTTTCCAAGGGCCCTGGTTTGTCGATGGTGCCACTGGATTTTTTTTTTTTTTTTTTAAGAGCCAGCAAAGAAAAAAGAGTCTCGGAATACCGTATCCGATGCGCCTAAGTCCCTCCAACGCTGGGCGTGGGGAGAAGGGGGGACGGCGGGGTTTACTGCCTCTGCGCTCTAGTCGCGCGTCTTCCGGTGTCCCAACGCCACTTTCGGAGGATTCGTGAGTCAGGCTAGAGAGATCAGACTGAATTCAGAACTTCTCTGGAAGAGATTTGCTCCTCACTTTTATCTTAGCAACAACAGTTATGTTTTACTTCTGATAATGGATTTGTGAGGACCAGCGCTTCCTTTAGGGCACTGAGGTTTTATGAAAGGATAAAAATAGCCCCATCTTCTTTTGTCGCTGAGCAGGGTAAATAATGTTGTCCCAGGACAACTTAATAAATATAAGTTAGTTCGGTATTCTTCGGTAATTAATTGGTAGGGAAAATGCCCTGCTTCTTTCTTGAAAATGTATTTTGTCTGGGATTACTTTCCAACCTGAGCGCCGCCAATTCCAGATCAAATTGTTGAAAATGAATTTGCAACCACTGGATAACTTGTTAAAAAATAATTAGAAAATTGCAATCTCTGATTTCATTCAGTGCTGAAAACTAATACAGCCTGTGGGGGGGGGGGGGACTAGTCTTTGTGAAATCTCTTCATCTCTTGCCAAAAGGGAATCTCTGGAACATCTTATATTGCATCTTCTACAATATCTACTTGCACCTCCTTCTAGAGTGATTTTTCTTAAAGCTCAACTGTACTTTAACCCCTTAACTCCTGTAAAGCACTTAAGGTATCTTAAATGATGGTTCTTCCTTTGGGATCAGTTTTCAGCAAACAAAGGTCGGTTGTCAATGTCACTTAACTAGAGTCAACTTTCAAATAATACTTTGAAAGTCACCACCACTATAAGGATTTAAGGATTGAATAAACGATGGATACACAGAAGTCTTGGCTTAGGTAATTATCTGAGCCCTAAGCCTGACAGATGCAGGCTGAGTGTTTGCCCCTCTTTTGGGAAAGGAGGAGGTTAATGTTGCTTTGCTTTATGCTGTTTTCTCCATGACTCATTGTCTTCCTGTCTTGATAGCTAAAATCTGGCAGTAGTTATACCTGATAATCATAACCAGCATGAGAAGATAATCATAACCACTCAGTTGAGTAGAGTTTCATCCTACTGAGACCTTCTGGATTAATTTGAAGGTCTTCTGCATACCTCAGTAGGTAAATTTTATTACCCATTGTCCATTATTTTAACCCTTCTCTCATTTTCCAAGCCAGACCATGTCCAAGACAAAAATTGGAATGAAATTCAGCCTGTTAAGAGTTCAACATGGCTTACCAAGGAAACATCACAGAGAAATCGAAAAGGACTTGTTAATAATTTATGCGTTAATGGGTATTGTAGGAGACCCTGTTGAGAAAGTTCTAGACAACTGGCTTTTCGCTTTCCCTGCTTTCATACACTACTCTACCCTGCCCATTCCACCAGCACTGGTCTCTGCTTCTACCCCTGGCTCTTGCATCAGCCACATCTCCCACTTTGCTGTTCTTGAAATTCGTCTAGCACATTCCTTCCCTGAGGGAACTGCATTTGGTTATAACCTCTTTCTGGAATGCTCTTCTCCCAGATTGTTATCTATTGTAAAATAACAAACAACCCCAAAATCTAATGGTTTAAAACAACAAACATTTACTGTAGTATTTGTGGATAGAATCAGTGGGATGACTTAACTAGATTCTTTGGCTCAGGAATACTTGAGAAAGTGTGATCAAGCTATGAACAGGGCTATGGTTTTATCTGAAGTCTCAACTAGGGAAGTGAGGCGTCCATTTTCAAGGTCACTCAAGTGGTTATCAGCAGATCTTGGTCCCTCATCACTTGGGCTTCTCCACAGGGCTCTCACACAGGACAACTTGCTTCTCTAAGCCAGAAGCATGGTCATTTTTCAGTCTCCTCTCTCCTGTCTGCCATGTACTCTTCCTGAGATGGGAGTCAGTAAGCCAACCGCCACGCCAGGAAACTTTTATACAGGGCATGGAGAAGGAGAGGGAGGTGGTGGGGATCACTTTAGAGGCTGCCGACCATACTCAGGTCACCCAACTGATTGGTCCCTTATTTCCTTCCGATGCCTGCGCAGCTGTCATCAGAAACATTGACACACTCCTCTGTGGATATAGCACACACACTGGCCCTCTATCATGCCTGTTCTTCATAGCATTACCATAGCCTCATTTCTATTTATTTGTTATGTCTTGCTCAACTTCAATTGTATGTAGACGTATGACAAAAGGAACTTAGTTTTTGTTCATTGTGACCTCCTGGGCCCAAACACAGTGCTTGGTTCCTAGCAGGCACTGTGTAAATATTTGTTGAATGAGCAAATGAATCAGTGTCATTAGAAATATTTCACCTGCAAATAATCCAAAACCCACTTATACAAATAGCTCATTGAACAAGGAGTGCAGAGGAAGGCAGTGCCGCTATTCAATAATTGGATCAATACCATGAGCCAGAATTTAAATCGTTTCTGCCCTTATACACGACAATCTGTGGGTCCTCAGCATTTTTTTTTTTAACTCCTAGACTCTTCTCCCCAGGTCTCATGGTGATCACTTTGGCATCAGATGTTCATTGGTTCACATTCAAAGACAAGACAAAATGGGGTAACCAGAACTAAAAGAGAGAAACACATGTCAGCTCCTTGTAGCAGGAGAGGGGAAATGTCCTGTGTATATATACACATACGTGTGTGTGTGTTTGTGTGTGTGTGTTTATACATATATAAATTTCCTCTTATATTTCCTGGTTCAAAATCATGCCACAGTATCACTGAGCTTCAGAGAAGGTGGCGAAGCCAAGATCTGACTGCCTTGCCCTTTGTAGTAAGAAAGGAGGAGGGTGGGGATTATTGTTGAGGAGCCACCACAACCCGGTAAATGAAGATGTTTCTCAGTGCTGAATCAGTGATGGAGACTTCCAATCTTGAAGACTTGTACCGTGCTTTTGGGTAGTTAACTAGCCTAAGTAGTTCGAGATGTGAGTTAGCCTTAAAAATGCATGACCAGGCCCTTCCTGGTGGTGCAGCGGGTTAAAGCACTGCACTAAGAAGCTTAAGCCACTTCCGCATGAGTTCGATTCCCGCCTGCCCCGGAGGTGACCACATGGCGCGGCAGACCTCTCCTGACCCGCCCGCTGCTCCCCTCAGCAGTGTGCCTCATCCATCTGCCTGTTTTGCTCCCCACCCTGTCTCTGGTGAATCCTCTCACCCTCCGCATCTCTGGCCTGTACCCCAGTTCTATACAAATAAATAAATCTTTAAAAAAAAAATGCATGACAAACATGGGGGAGGGTGCTTGCTAGGACTGAAAGGAAACCTTCTTGACAAGTCTCCGCATCCTGGTTTTATGTACAGTGAAGTTCGCGTTACTGTTTTATGCCTCATCAGAGTTCTTGCATTTAGGTTACACATGAAAATAAAAGTTGATGTTGACAGAAATTGCAGTGAACTGACCCCTATTGGATGTGTCCTGACTCTGATGCTCCTATCCAAAAGTGTCTATTAAGCGAAGTTTTTATTTGTGTTAGTGAGATGCCCTAATTGTCAGCATTGTGTGACAGACAACCAACACTCAGTCAAAGTCCAAATGCTGGCACAGACACAGGTTCCACAAAGGTGACCAGTGATGACCTAGCTGAATTAGCAATGAGAGGAGAGAAATACAGGAAAGATGAGGCCACAATTAACGCTTACAAGGTAATGACTGGGAAAAGAATGGGAGAGGCTTTCGGAAAACAAATGCAGCATGAACATTCCTTGCAAAAATTGCCTGTGGAAATCAAGAAGTACACTACTCAAGCCTCCTTAGGTGAAGAGCAGGACATGTAAGTGAAGAGGCATTTGGGACCCTCCAGGCAGGCCAAACCTCTGGGCCCTGTCCAAATTCCCAACTTATAGGCCCAAACTACATAATAAAATCATTGTTGTTGGGGGGAAATAAGGAACTGTGAATACTGTATTCACGTCACAACTTGGTGGAATCAACTTTTGATAGTCTTGATGTAACCATAGACACAGTTGTTGCAGCTTCCTTCTGTTAAATATCATATGTTCCTCAGTTTTAATTATATCATTGTAATATACATCCCTAGTCAGGGGCCCTCCCTGGTGGCACAGCGGGTTAAAGCACAGCACTGAGAATCTAAAGCCACTTCCTCATGAGTTTGATACCCACCTGCCCCGGGGGTGACCACATGGTGCTGCAGACCTCTCCTGGCCCCCCTGCTGCTCCCCTCAGCAGTGTGCTTTGTCCATCTGCCTGTTCTGCTCCCCACTCTGGCTCTGGTGAAGGCTCTCACCCTCCACATCTCTGGCCTGTACCCCAGTTCTGTATGAATAAATAAATAAATCTTTAAAATAAATATATTTAAAATATATATATATATATATATATATACATACACATCCCTAGTCAATACTTGTACTTGTCCACTGACGAGAAAAGTTCATCCTTACTTTGGAGTCACTGTGTAGCATTTCTCAAGGAGGTGTTAATCTCAACAAAGACATAGGGGAAAGTCACTTTCAAATGTTGTTGCCTCACCTAATTCTAGTGGATTTTAGGATCTGTTTGTCTTTTCCTTAGGGTAAAACAAGTGACATCATTCCTGTAAGGACAATTTAATAATCAGTGAAAGCAAGCAGCTGAAAAGGTGGAGATTAGAAGAAATTGTGGGCGTATACAAAAGTAACTTTGTTGTCATTACTGTCTTATGCTATTGCAGTGCCCAGAATGTCACAAAACATCATCACCATGCTATCTGGGTTGACAGCTCAAAACTGAACCTCAGCTCCATTACAAACAATTCCTTACTTTCCCCAAAAAACAATGACTTTATTATGTATTATGAGCCCATGAGTCAGGAATTTGGACAGGGCCCAGAGGCTTGGCCTGCCTGGAGTGTCCAAAAAGCCTCTTCATTTACATGCCCTGCTCTTCACTGGAACAGTTCACTTGGGGTGCTGTGTCTACAACGCCATTTCTGCTGTCTGGGGGCTCCTTGATTTTCTTCCAGTAGATCAGGTCCTCCGTCCCTCACTCTGGCCTCTCTACTTTGTGAAGTCTCAGATCTCTCGCAGGACAGCCAGGCTGAGGCTCTTTCTATGGGCAGCTCGGAATTCCCAGAGAGAGAAAAAGGGGAATTTCCCAGGCCTGGAACTGCCACAGAATCACAACATTCTGTGAGTTAAACCAAGACACAAGCTGATAAGGGTGAGTGTACCCCTTATCCCTCCAACTTCATATACTTTAGTTCTGTCTCTAGTATATCGGAACGTGCGTGACTTTGGAGCTGGTGTCTTTAAGAATGTGATGAGTTTCAGAAGAGACCATAGAAATAAGCCCAAGTCCAATATGGCTGATATCCTTGTAAGAAGAGGAAATTTGGACAGGCGTGGCAAAGAGGTCTTCAGGGAGGAGTAGTTGGGTAAAGAGGATCAATCTTTGCCCTCAGGAACTTTCAGGAGAATGCCCTGTTGGCAATGATCCCAATATTTAGCATGCCTCAGAATCCACCATTCACAAATAAATTGGAATATAGGAGAGTAAACTATTCTGTGAGATACTTAAGTACTGAATTATATATAATCAAGTGATACGACGGACCAGTTAGATTTAGTCTTTTTAAATCATCTTCATAGAATTGTGTAGCACTTGGCATTCATCACTGTAAACAGAATTTTGGACATGTTGATACCTTAGCCCTGAAGTTTCATTTCGAGAAAGTAATTAAACAAATAACTTAAAAATGACACACAGTAGTGTGTCTCCAAGCTCTTTTTATATTATTTGCAACTATTTGCTCATTTATCAGACAATGTAGGGCAAAGGGTGCAGTTTAGGGTGCACTGGAACCACATGTGGCCACTGGTTCCTTCTGTCAAGTTCAGAGATCTGCTGTATCCAAAATTTCTTGTGGAATAAAATGAGGGCCAAGAATGCTGGTGTAGTGAAGGTCTCCCACAGGGAAAACAGAAGAGTAGAGAAAAATTCCCCCAGCCTCATCAGAATTCAGTATCAGAAGAAGAAAAACATGCATGTCTTTCACACACTTCCTTAAAAAAATGGAGATTTTCTTACTTTTTCTTGTTCTGGGCAGGTTCTTTAATGGAGCAGCTGGCCTTCCTGCACACCTGGTTGCATCTCATGATTTACAGACTTCAGCTCTGAAGCCAGTTCACCATTCCCTCTGGTGCGGCACGGAGTAATTCCACCTCGCGATGCTGGACTTCCTGGCGGAGAACAACCTCTGTGGCCAGGCCATCCTCAGGATTGTGTCCTGTGGCAATGCCATCATCGCCGAGCTTTTGAGGCTCTCAGAGTTTATTCCTGCTGTGTTCAGGTTAAAAGACCGAGCTGATCAACAGAAATATGGAGATATCATATTTGACTTCAGCTATTTTAAGGTAATCTTCCTCCATAGCATTTTTACTTGTCTTCTCCACAAAGACGTGCTTCTGGGAGGTGAAGTCATTATGGAGAAGGAGTTAAAGAGGAACACCTTTGAACCAAATTTAGTATGAGCTACTAACTTGAAAATAACATGAAGGTATTTTGTGGAAGCCCTAGCACACTATGATCAAGTTTTAAAAAGAAAATCTTGCTGTAATGAAGGACCCCACCCTTCAAAGGATGCGAACCATGCTTGTGATTCAAATTCATTTCTTTTAAAGGGATTTTATGTTGAGGCTTCTGTTCTCTTCATTACTTTCTGTTGCTCTGCTTTCCGTTTTGATATCCCTTTCAGGGCATAAGAACAAATTTTTAAAAATTTAGAAATTGTAACCAAGTGTGCTTTTATTGACATTTCAAATAAATGTGTTTTTCTTCTTAGGGTCCAGAGTTATGGGAAAGCAAGCTGGAAGCTAAGCCAGAGCTACAGGATTTAGATGAAGAATTTCGTGAAAACAACATAGAAATTGTGACCAGATTTTATTTAGCATTTCAAAGTGTGCATAAATATATTGTAGACTTAAACAGGTATTGATTCATTTAGTCATAGCTTCTTCTGATAGTAAACAGTGGCGAGCACAAAGGGACATCCCAGGACATCTGAGTTGCTATAGAATCTACTGGCTACACCAGGCATAATACTGTCTTTTTTTCCTCCGGTAGGAAAAAGGCTAGTCATCTTAAGTATGTTAGAGTATTATCATTTTCTGCTTTGATGAAACATAATCTTGGTTATCCATCCTGGAGCTTATGATTATGTTCTAGTACATTGCAGATGAGAAGTAGCAAGAGAACATAATTTGCTGCCTTGGTAACTATGTCCTATGGGCTTACCCCTAGCCACAGAGGAGTCTCTTCCTTCCAGACTTTCCAGACCCATTACTCCTCAACTTTCAAACTAACTATTTCATGTTCTTTTGCCATTATTCCTAAAATAGTCGGAGCTGGGGAATATTCCTTTAACTTGAAATAACCATAAATACCAACCTGTGGCCCCAGTCACTATGAATTCTGGCTCACAAGACTATTCTTAAGGGCAAGAAGGGGCAGGAATTATTTGAAGGCCAGGATGTAGCTAGTAGCTTGCCTTAACTTTTATAAATCTTTATTTTCCATCTTCAAAGATGTTCAAGTTTTTATTACCAATGACTAATTTGTTCTGGGGTTTCCTTTCTAGATATCTAGATGATCTCAATGAAGGTGTTTACATTCAGCAAACCTTAGAAACTGTGCTTCTCAATGAAGATGGAAAACAACTTCTAGTAAGTGGCAGTGACCATCTCAAATAGAAAGTTACGAATGTCAGGCTTAGCAACACTTTCCTTCCTGTGAGTCTCAATTTAGACAAATTTATACCTGACCTTAAAGAGAAGCAAAGTAAATGATGATTTTTTTAACTGGCAGATCTGAATCTAAATTCAGAACTGGTAGACTTTGAACAGAATTATAAGTAAATAAAGATTATCTGGAGGCTATGTGTTTCCTCAGTGTGAGAATCCTACATTTGTCTTTTGCATTCCAGACATCCCCTCATACTACATGTTGACCACTTAAGAAATGTTTGCTAGGCCCAAACAAACCCTTAAAATCTGACTATAGGCTACCAGAAGGGGAGGGTGAGAGCTGGGAACAGACAATAGGAGAGGATTTCTGGCGCTTCGGTAGTGGGTGTTGTGTGGTAACTTACCTATAGAGGTATGAACGTGTATCCCTAAATGATAATACAGTGCTGTAAACCAATGATAGCTCAATAAACAAAATTTTTTAAAAAGCTTGTTAAATAAGTGACTAATTTTATAATAAAGAGATCTTCATAATGCCAGGACTTCATTTGATATCCCAAGCAAAATTCAAAAACAGACCAACTGAAAGATAATCACTGTGAATTAAATTTTTTCACAAAAACTTTTCCAAGTATATTCTCTGCAAGAGGTAAGAACATTTGGAGTAAACCTGTATTTTCATTATAGTATAAGACTTTCAATGCCTCCCTGGTGGTGCAGGGGTTAACGTCTCAGCACTATCAAGCTATCACCAGCCACTGTGGCATCAGTTTGATCTCCAGCCAGGAAGCTGACCCACATGGTGCAGCAGACTTCTCCTGTCTCACCCGTGGCTCCCTTCACTGTATTTCAATAGATCCACTTGACCTGCTCCCCACTTTCTGGTGAATCCTCTCACTGCCCCTTACCTCCAGCCCTGCAACTCTGGCCTACATCCAGCTCTTTATGCATAAATAAATAAACAAATAAAAATTTTAGGGAAAAAAGGCTTTCAGAAGGAATTGGAGTAAGGTGACTTTTCAATGGTTAATGACTGCTGCAGAAGAGTTTATACCCTGTGAGCTTGGCCACTGTCTCTTCTCTTCATAGTGTGAAGCGCTGTACTTGTATGGAGTTATGTTGCTGGTCATCGACCAAAAGATTGAAGGCGAAGTCAGAGAGAGAATGCTGGTTTCCTACTACAGATACAGGTATCCGCAGGCCAGGATTACACTCCTGGAAGTACTGCTGAGGGTAAAATGCATTCACTGTAGGCTTCCAAACTACTTGTTCTGTGAGCAGCAAATGATCTAGAATGCAAAAGCATTAGATTCTTATCTCTACTGAACATAATGTAGAAATATAATAAATACTCTTTTCTGTCATCATCATAGGATACATGCCATGTAATTTTGTATTATCTATAAAATGTTATAGATGCCTAGAGCTGTATAGATTGTGGTACCTGTGATGATACTTTAGATTTTTAAAATAAAGAATCTGAATTTTCTTTATCTTAAAGATAAATTTAGATAAGATTGGAAGCCTAATGAATGTATTTTTGTTTTGGGTTTTGAAGGTCCCCGTTGCACTTCTTGGCAGGTATAAGGAAATGAGAGAATTTTCTGTTGTCATTTTCAAGTTGATGACTTGGAAAAATTATTACTCGTGGTCAGTCTGAAAGTAAATTGTCACCCATCTATATGTAGAAAGAAAACCAAAACAAACAGCATCGCTCACCCTGGGTCACATGTTGTCTCTCCCTGTACAGACCTGTGAATTTCTAGATGTAGGGTCCGAAAATCAGGAGCCGTCTAACCAACTCTTCAGTTCCACTGCCAGTTTGAACGTGCTGAATAATTTAGTCAAAATGCAAGATACAAGGTCAATCAATGTTAGAAATAGTCAAGATTCAAGAAAGAAATAGTCAATGAGGAGGAATCATTTAGAACCTTGGGCAAAAGTAGTGCAGACTAGAATTTTCATTTCAGACTTAAAATTAGGTCAAAATACATTCTGTGGGGGCGGAGTGGGGAATGGGATCAAAAACGGGGGGGGGGAGGGGAGGGAAATGCATGGGACTAGGGTGGTGGCACAGGGGTGATCTGGTGATGGGAAACCTGCGGGGATTACAATCGAGATGGAAAAAAAAAATGTGCAAAATGATGTAAAAATAAACTTTGTAATAAAAAAAAATTAGGTCAAAATAAGTAGGACGAAAAGGCATACGCTTAACAGAGGAGGACTCTTTGGGGACATTGTGTGTTACGAGACATCTGTTCCTGCTGCTCCACGAGGCCCGCCTTCCCTCTGAAGTCTGCCTTTCCTCTCTGTCCCTGAGGAACAAGCCCGCTGCAAACATAATTCCCTCCCGTCAGCTGACCACAAGCTGTCTTAACATGTTTTTTTAAATGGGCTTTGAGTAGCTTTGCTTCTATTCCTACAAAGGCCTGGAAAAACAGAATAAATAATATAAAGAAAAAAAAAAACATTTGTCTTCCCAGCCCAGCTTAGACTATCCCACTTTGTCTCTCTGGATGCAAAAGCTCTGATGCTTCCAAACGAGAGGATTGATATTAAAGTCACTGACCATTGCCAAGTCAGCCTTGTGTCAAACAGAGACTTGTAGCAAGTTGGAGGTCACCTCCAAGTCTACGAATCTTAGCGTCTAGTTCATTTTTCAGGGATTATACTCCATAGAACCCTGGCCATCACAAATATTTTCATTGAATCTGTCACAGAAGCAGCATGCCCAGAAAAACTGGTTAGCATATATCATGCTTGGAATTGGCATCATTTCTTTTAAATTTTTTATTTTGTTGAATGTTGATGTAGATTCACATTATTTTCCTGTTGGCTTTGTTTGTTTTCAAGTCTCTGTGCTGTTTTTACTGGTCTGTACCGACATGCTCAACATAGAACGTAACTATAAATAGTGCTGTGCAAAAGAGGAGAGTGCTGAAGTACAGTGGAGACATTTTTAAATAAATACTCCAACACAGAGTCGCATTCTTTATTCGCAGTTCTGCAATCCAAAGAGCTCTGAAAAAATATAGGTACACATATGCACATACTAACTCAAAATCAGTGTCTGGATTTGGAAAAGGAGTATGGGCCTTTATATGTTCTGCACATACATACAGAGACCCTAACTTACTAGTTTGTGGTAATGGTCTTTTTGAAAAGACAGTTTTAAATCTTAAACATATAGAGTTACCCACAGATGTATCCATATGACTATGCACAAAGTAGAATAAAATTGTTCTGCTTTTGTTGGCCTTCTGAGTTTCTAATATATGTGCTTTGTTTGGCTCCTTCTTTCCTTGGGAACTTGGCTCAGTGCTGCCCGGTCTTCTGCTGACTCAAATATGGATGATATTTGTAAGCTGCTTCGAAGTACAGGTTACTCCAGCCAAGCAGGAGCCAAAAGACCACCCAACTACCCCGAGAGCTACTTCCAGAGAGTGCCTATCAATGAATCCTTCATCAGCATGGTCATAGGTCGACTAAGATCTGACGATATTTATAACCAGGTGAGTACGGCTTCTACTAAGATCTCAGTGGCTTAGAAGTAGATTTCGTTTTCCTCCTCAGTTACCCACTCTCTCCCTTCTTCCTGAGAAGAACAGAAGCTGGTAAAACCCATGTAAAACCTTTGTAGCTGTGCTACGATGGTGCAGGAAAGAGGGATATTAATTTTGGCAGAATGAGAGACTTCAGGGAGAAGATGGGATTTGATTATATCTGGAGAGAAGATGCATTGCCTCTGGTCCACCAAGACAAAGGTGTTGGGGGTGCCGGGGTGCCTGTGCACATGCCAGGTCCTGGGCCTGGATCCTGCGTCCATCACTGATACAGGCCAGCCATGAGCTGGTGGCTGAGGAAAGCAGACAGCTACAGGAATTACAATGAAGCAAGCCGCGTGTTATCTTAGTGGAAGCACAGGGTGCCTCAGAGCATTTAATGGGGGAAGCAGGACGGCACCAGGGCCGGGAAGTACGTGGACAGCTCCAGGAAAAGAGGCTGCAAAGTTTAGACTATAAAGATCTGCAGGATCTGAAATCTGTCTCTCTCTCTTCTCTGTAACATTCCCTTCCATAAAGGATGCCAAAGAAAATGTCCAGTCCACTTCACTGTCCCGAAGAAAACTTAGTTTTTCATATGTGTGTGTGTATAATTTTTATATATATATATGTAGTTTATATATATATAAGTAATTTATATATATAATCACACACAAAGTTTTATATATATATACATACATACACACTAAGTTTTCTTCATATATATATGAAGAGAGAAAGTTTTCTTATTATATATAGATATAGATCTTACTATAAAATGTACAGAGTTGGACTTGGGATTGTTTGATGTCATTTATGACAGAGCAGATTGACTTCTTTAGGTAGCCTGTTAGTTTTGTAGAAATATGGTAAGTATAAATAAAAGTTGTTTTTTTAAACACCACTCGGTATCAGGAGCAGCCTGCAAAAACCAAGTTTCCAAAATGCTTGTTGCCATTTTTTGAGAATTCGATAGGAACCCAAATCATAGGACGATTTTTCATCACAACAGCCTTACACAGTAGATGACACCATAATCCTTATGTTGCTGTTGAAAAAGATAAGGAATAGAGTCTCAGTAAGCCTCATGAGGCCTTATAACTCATAGCAGGACCAGACTTCGCATGCGGGTCTGTGTGACCCCGGAACCCAGGCTGTTTCTCATTGTCTCTCCTAACCCCTCTGCCTCTGTGTGCTCCCTTCTGCCCATGTCTCAAGGCAGTGCCTTTCAATTTTCTCCTTGCCCAGGACCTGTATTAGCCCAGAAGGGCAGCCCTGGCTGTGCTGTGTGTCCACTGCTGTCAGGCCTGCACGTGCTCCATCCCTAGACATGGCTGATTGAATTCGGGCCATCTCTAACCCAGATAGATAAGACAGATAGATCCCATTTCCTGTGCCCTGATAATTTGGGATTGAACCTATGGAATCATTTCTGGAAGTGGGTTTAACTACCACAGGCAAAATCTGGAGTTTTGGGCAACCTCATTTTGCCATTCTGCTAGAGTGACAAAGTCTCAAAGAGAGGAAAGCACTTCACGGGGCTCTGTCATACTTTCTGGTTTTTAGCCCCAGGCCTTTCTAAGCCTGCTTGCACGTCCCATTGCAAGAATTGCAAGAATTGCCTTCCTTTCTCTTATGCTAGCTTGTGGTGATATGTGACTTCTAATATATGAGCAGATGGAGCCCAGGGACCTGCCAGCACTTAAAAGACAAACAGAAGGAGAACACCCAGCAAAGCAGACTGAGAAGAATGGAGTCTGGGAAACCAAAGGAAGGACATTCCTCTGAGAATTTAAGTGAGAATGCTAAAAAGAGGCCATTAAATTCAGATTTACAGTGGGATGAGAAAGAAGGTCAAATTCCATGAGTTGAAACATAACAAGAATTAAGAAAATGGCCACTGTGACTAAAGCCTAGTAGTTCTAATAGACTGTTTGTGACAGGAAAGATACAGAAATAGACAGTCCAGGGAAACCCAAGATTAAAATTTATTTCTGTTTCTAAAGGAAATACTTTAAATTGTGGCAGCCCAGGGCTGGAAGGAGGAGAACTTTCTGTGGTTAGAGTGGAGAAGTCAGGCCCTGGTCATGGCTGACTCCTTACCATACCTCAGTCTGAGAATGGGTCCTGGTGTCCAGGAGCCCCCGACATGGGCTTCTGAGAGGTGGATAGAGCCTCTGGCCACGCGTTTACCTGCCCAGGGATGGGCTCAGGTGTCCCCAGCCGCCCCTCCTCAGGGCCTTATCTCTCGCAGGTCTCTGCCTACCCTCTGCCGGAGCATCGCAGCACAGCCCTGGCCACCCAAGCGGCCATGCTCTACGTGATTCTCTACTTCGAACCCTCCATCCTTCACACCCACCAAGCGAAAATGAGAGAGATAGTGGATAAATACTTTCCAGATAACTGGGCAAGTATCACTCTTAATCTCCCTGCTATCATCATGTTAGAAATCATGTTAGAGAACTGGCTTCCTATTCTTTTGGCCTTTATCCCAGAGGTTAAAATGTTGTAAATAAAACGACATACAGTCAACTGGATAAAATTTCTTGAAGTGCGCAGAGTTTTATATTTCAGAAATGTAGGAATCAGTCTATAAAATTTCCTGAAGAAATTTCCGTTTTTTCTTCTTCTGAGTTACGTAAGTTTTTTTTTTTAAAGGTTTATTTGTTTATGCATACAGAACTGGGGTACAGGCCAGAGGTGCAGGGGCGGTGAGAGGATTCACCAGAGACAGAGTGGGGAGCAGGACAGGCAGATCAACGAAGTACACTTCTGAGGAGAGCAGTGGGTGGGTCAGGAGAGGTCTGCCTCGCCATGTGGGTCATCTCCCGGGCTGGGGATCAAACTCATGCGGAAGTGGCTTTAGCTTATTAGTGCTGTGCTTTAACCCGCTGCGCCACCAGGGAGGGCCCAGAATTTTTTTTAATCTTTTTCTATTTTATACATCTAAGCTAGCAGAATTCATCTAATTTGTCATTTTCTAGATATGAATTTCACTTTAATAGTAAATTTTATATATAGTAAGCTAATGTTGATGGAACTATTAAGGCTTACATTGCATGTGTCTCTTTTTAAAAACTGTCTCACTGAGAAGTATTCTTAAAGGAATAAAACTCACTTGACCTACTTGATGTATATGAATGTTTGCTTTGCTCATGGAGGTTTTACAATGAGTCGGGTCATATTCTCAGGCGGCAGGCAGTTCATCTCACCCCTTGTCAGCCATTGGCACGCAAGTTGTGATAACAGGCTCAGTGAGGAGCTTTACTGGTGAGAAGAGCAGCCCACAATGAGAGATGATGCTCACAACTCATGACTAACTTGAGCTAGGAGTAGAGAAACCAAGAGCAAGACTGATAGGCTGGCTAAATTGGCCCAAACGTCATAAAGAGATTTTGACCTTAATGCTGCAATAGAAACAGAAGCACTTTTAGTTTTAAGGAGGGACAAAAATTCAGTTATGTGGCGCTGACCAGACCCTGGTACTCTGAAGATAATTAAATTTTAAAGAGAAGCATTAATTGGAATAATACCTTCTTCCAATTTACTATTAAAGAAGTATCCTATGTAATTTTTAAAAAAGTAAGCCACCTAAGTAAATTTATAATCATGAATGACATACTCAAATGTGTGAAGCAAAAACCCAGAACATGGGAAAATGGGTGAAACCATCATGAGGAGACATTCTAATCACCATTCTTATTCTCTAGAGATGCACAGCAGATATTCAGTGTGCACTTGAAAAGGCTGTATGTGCAAGCCAAATACACTCTGTTAGTCTGCAGATATATTCTGTAATTTGTGCAGATAAATTAAAACAAACATGAAAAAGATATTTTTAAGAAAAGATCCTCCCAAATAACTTTTCTTAAAAGGAAATGACAACGCAAATGAAAAAATATTTAGAATTGCACAATATTGAAATGCAAGAAAGTGAAGCTTGCAGGAAAGAGCTAAAATGGTTTAAGGGTAAACATAGAATCTGAAGTATGATTCTATAAAAAACGACTCACAAATATAAATAAATGAGTTTGATGTTAAACTTAAGTCAGAAAAGATAAAGTGATAGGAAGTCATTAATATATACACAAACCCACGTGTATTTAGGAAACTAAAAGGAACTAGAGAAGAAAGCAGCAGAAGCTAGTTTTTTTTTTTTTTTTTTTGAAAGCGTAATAAGCTTTATTAAATTAGATTAAAGGGGGAGAAAACAGAAGCTAGTTTTATAAAAGAAGTATAAAGTAGTGAAGACTGACCAGCAAGAGGAGAAGGCAGATTGAAAAAGACCTAAAATAGCCATTTAAAAAAGTTAAAAGGAAACCTCTGAACACTGTATGCCATTACATCTGAAAACTCGGAAGAAATGGTTAATTTGCTTATAAATTACTGAAGGAAAGAAAAAGGCAAGCCAAATGAGCAGGTAATTAAAGAAGTAGAGTCGGTGATGGAGTCTCACTGCTCGTCTTCTCCCACCAAACAAGATAACTCCCAAGCCCACAGGGCCCTGTGGGCAGTTGCCAGACTGTGGTCACGAGTGGCCCATTTACACATACTGAAGTGGGTAGATAAGTTGCTGCAAAAATAATGCTTTGCTTCCTTTAGTCGAGAGGCCCCCCAAATATGGACTGGGGAGCCCGGAAGTGCCCACAACACTTTCAGGAGGTCAGTGAGCTCAAAGTTGTTTTCACAAGAAAACTAAGATTCCCTCAGCCGCTCACTCGCGTCCTCTCTGGGCTGCACTTCCAGGGACTCCAGACAAGGGTTAACGCAGCAGCCAGACAACCTGGCAGCCTTCGGGCCAGGCACCACAGAGGCTTGAAAACGTACAAAAACACAAAAATGCTGCCACGCTTCCTCCTTACATACCTTTGGGGCAAGTTTGATTTTTTTTTTTACAAAAAAAAAAAAATGTTTATGTTAGCAAGTACTGATGGGCTTATTGTTATTTTAAATGAATTCCTATTTTTTAAATTTCTGTTTTCTTTTGTATGATACTGTGTATAATAAATGCCTAAAATAGTTCAGTGAGCTTTAAGTGTGTAAAGACTGGCAGAAATGTTTGAGAAGCCCGTGCTCACTTCAGTCTCTGTTTCCCGGCCCCTTGGTGCTGGCCAGTGCTCCAGACAAGCTCCGTTGTTGGTCTAGTTCCAAAGTGCTCAGAAGGAAGAGTGTGACCTATATATAGGGAACGGCTGGCTTTTTCACTGGACTGGACGTTACCTGGAAGGAGCAGGCAATGTCTTCAGTATTTAACAAGCACCAAATGAATGTCTCCTCTTTCAGGTCATTAGTATTTACATGGGAATCACAGTTAACCTAGCAGATGCTTGGGAGCCTTACAAAGCTGCAAAAACTGCTTTGAATAATACCCTGGACCTTTCGAACGTCAGAGAACAAGTAAGTCCTGGCTAACGAAGAAAGATTCTTTCCAGTTGTAAAGCTGCTTTATGGTAAGAAGTGAGCTACGTAAATTTCCTAGGGAATTCCCACGTAGCCTTTGTAATGCAGTGATTAATGAAAAGCGACTTGCAAATCCGAGTAAGATCGATAATTATAGACTGTTAACTTGATGGTATATTTTACCTATTTTACTTGGTCCTAAGGAAGATTCAACAAGATGCGTAGACGCCTGGCCCTAGAGGATTTGGCTGATTCTCGCTGGGGACCATGTGGCATGGTCAGCTCCTTCCACCAGCAGCTGGAATCTCATGCTTTAATCATTGGGATTAATACTGAAGACAGTGACTAAATGTAGACAATACGCCCTGTCCCTGTAACATCCATGTGAAATAAGCAAGAAGACACAAGACAGTCATTTCCTTAAAGTTTAACTGTCTACATTCTGTCTCTTTGATAGAACATAAAGCAGAAGAAAATACCTAAGTAAATAGAAAAATAACAACAAAATCATTTTGTGAGGGAGCATATTTGACATTCCTAAGCAATTATCTTCCTCAGCCTGCTGTCTGAGTTTGTGATTTTCCAATGTGCAGAGAATGATACTGACTGAGAGAACTCTGCATGTTTTATTCAAATACGTTGAATTCCATAAATAATGCATAAGATAATTTCCACATTGGCATGAGTCCTAGAAATGTATTAGAGGAAGAAGTGCTTTCATTCTCACTGGCACCAGAGCATTAATTTTTCATTACTGAAATCCCTTCTCCAAATTGCAGTTCTCATTTCTGACATGGTGAAACATCTTGTTGGTAGTTTTATACTAACTTGACTGGATTAAGGATATTTAACATTTAGCCTTTGTTTCAGGTAAAGCAGAATGACCAACTTTCCAAAAGCTCGTTTGAAATTTCGGTTTTCATATGTAGACTGTGCCCGTCCAAGCCTCATCTCTCGAGTGTTTCTGCTCTACCCTGCTTCCTTCGTCGATGATAATAGGAAGAACAGACAGTTGAATTTCTCTCCTTATGTTCCTTTTCTATCCAAGTTAAAAATAGAAAGGCTCCTAGGAGCCATCTGATCCAGTTCTCCATTTGATATCTGAAGAAACCAATATGCAGAGGTTAAATCCAAAGTCATACCAATACTAGATCATGGCCAGAAATAGGACTTGGGGCTTTATTATAATTTAAGTCCAGTGCTTTTATCAAAAATATCCAATAAACTACGTGCCCTTGTGCCTTGTTAACCATAATCCAGTGTGATTCATCTCCGAAATGTTGTCTATTCAAAGGTTCATTTGAATGTGAGTCCCTTTCAAGATAAATCTTTTTTAAACAAGGCTTTTGTATTTTCAAAGGCAAGCAGATATGCAACAGTCAGTGAAAGAGTGCACGCTCAAGTACAGCAATTTCTGAAGGAAGGTTACTTGAGGGAGGAGATGGTTCTGGACAATATCCCGAGGCTTCTCAACTGCCTGAGAGACTGCAATGTCGCCATCCGGTGGCTGATGCTCCATACAGCAGAATCAGGTACCATTCAAGAAGGGTAGCTGCCTACCTCACTGTTAGGTCAGAATGAACATGCACTTCTTGATGCAAAGTGATGCAGGGGAGAAAGCCCCTGGATAAGAATCAGATTGCTTTCTAAGTTAGTCTTTTCATGTCACTTTGGAAATTCAGTGGCCTACTAGCACAGCAGCTTTCTTGGGCACTGACTGTTCAGTGCTGTAAACAGATTTACCTAGTGTTCATAGGCACTTACCACCTAATGGGGAGATCAGATGTATAGATATGAAAAAGCATAACTTCAGATCCTTGCTAGGAAGAATAATTCTAACCTCAGCCTCCTGAAGATGTCTAGGACCTACCCCCTGAAAACTGGGCATGAGGAAAAGAGATTAAGGTTGCCACCTGCATTAATGTTACTCATCAATTGACTGTAAAGAATGGAGACTAGGACACTGTCCTGGATTACCCCAGGAGGCCCAGTGCTATCACAAGAGTCCTTAAGTCAGGAAGAGGGAAGCAGAAGAATCAGAACTAGGAAGGTGGCATCACGAGAAAGACTCAACAGGCCTAGCTCTAAAGGTGGATGGGGCCACGAGCCAAGGAGGACAGGCGACCTCTAGCTGCTGTAAAAGACTAGGAAACCGACTTTTCCCTAGAACTTCTGGAAGAAGCACTGCTGACACCTTGATTTTACTTACTTTTTCTGTAAGAGGCAGTTCATTAAAGATAAATGAAGAAGAACAAAAGTAAAAGTCAAATCATGACTGAGTCCATATTTAAAAGAATAATAACTGAAAAAAAGCACAAAAGAGATCAAAGATGTTATGAATCATGTTTACAAGCAGTTGCGTAAACATGCATAAAGAGAAATTTTTTTGCTTAAAAATGAACTTTTTTTTAGTAATGGTAGAGTTTTTCATAAAAGAAACCAGAAAGTTAGTAAATAGACATTTCTGTACTTTGCTTAAGAGATGCCTACCCATGCCACCAAACATTCTCAGGCAGGAGAAGTAAATGGATACCTCATTTGACCCAGTGAGACTCATTTCTGATTTCTCATCTCTGGACTTGTAAATCTTTGTTGTGTTAAGCCACTAAGTTGTGATGGCTTGTTACAGCAGCCCTAGGAAATAGTAGAAGCCAGTAAATAAGAGCTGGAGCTATGGACAGCATGTGGGGTTTGAGTCCAGAGCAGAAGAGCAGCATAGCTTTGGGTGGAGGTGCTGAGGTGGTTAGGGAAGGAGGCAGGAGCTGGTAAAATAGTGAAGAAAAAAGCAGAAATTCCAGACTGACAGGATGATGAAAGAAAGCTATGATGGTGAAAGTACAGGGCGACACAGGCCCACAAAGTTGGTGAACCATGTAGACCGAGTGCTCAGTTAGGGTAGAGTACTTCTTAACCTTCTCTGGATCCTAGATTTCAGACTGTCCTGGCTTCCAGTACTGTTGCTTCCCAGGTTATGTGAAATGCCTCCACAGTCCATGAGCCTCAGGATTTAAAACCCTGATTTAGTAGTAGAAAAAATAAGTAGGTCAGACTGACCTGAGCTGGTTCAGAACTAGCATGGTTCCTTATTCTTAGTAAATGCTTGGTCGGTATCACAGGCTGAACCTACCCCACCCCCAAAGAGTGGTGTCAGCTGCCCCATAAAGCTTTCTGTTCCCTGTTGTTCACTCAGCGAACTCTTGAGAATTTATTCTGAGACAGGTACTGCTTTAGATATTTAATTCTTTCAAATAGGCTTTAAAAAACTGCCTACACCAGATCACTCCCCAGCCTCATCACAATCCTTCTGGGCTGTTCCTCTGCCCCTTTCTGCCACCTGCTGGTCAGTTGGGGGAACAGTGGCGGGGCTTCCTCATCCTTTTGCATCTTTGAAAATGAGGGTCATTTCTCCTCAGCCTTCTCTCTGCACACTAGGAATCCCCAGCTTTGAAAAATCTCACATTGCCTTATCCATTCTACCTCCATTGTACAAAAATAATTTACAACCAGCTTGGGCAAGGCTCAACAGCATGGTAGTTTTGTCTCTAAGGTTACTTCCCCACAACCACTTTAAACCTAAGCTATGCAGTGGCAATATAAAGTTTGTAGTCTTTCCAATAAAGGTTTACAAAACATGAAAAAAGGAACAAAGAAAAATCTCACAAGTGCAGCTTAGTGGGTTTGTGCTTTTTCCAAGCATCGCTGTGTGCCTGGCGCTCTCTCCCATTTAGTTTACTCACGGCAGGAATCCCGTGGCTAAAGTCTTAATCATCTAATGGAACTGTTTTGAATTAGGTGAGTTTAGGTTTCACATAAACACCAGCCCAAATTTGAGGACCTTACTATGTTGACTCAGCTTATAATCTTTACCAAAAGTCTTATAGTCTCGAGCATATAAACAACTCACTTCATCCTGTTGTAAAACCAATTGTGGTTTTTGAGTGACTCAGGCTCATTTCTGTCTTCCCGAGACTGCCTGACAGCACCGCCTGTGCTCTGGGAGCCAGTGGTTTCCTGGCCTGCACCCTGCCAGGGACAGCCCTGGCTTGCCAGAGTTCCCGGCTTTAATCTTCAGCCACATCTGTTTTTCCATTTCTGTACCTGGCAGTTGTCTGACCTGATTGCACAAGGTCATAATTTACCAGAAACAAGTGATTTGCCTATCTGGTTGAGTCATCCCTGGGAAAATGAACTGCTGGTTGTGCCTTATGGTGTTTGGGTCAGTCATGGGGAGGCACAATCCCCCCTGTGAACCCACAGAGGCACTGCACCACAGCCAGGATGCTCCCCCAGTGCTACACAGCTGCTGAAGAGATGCTCGGAGCCAGCCATCAGTAGGCAAGCCAGCCTGCTACTGACATCTGACCCCAAGGCGACCTGGGTTCTGAAATTTGGCCCCTCAGTTCCTGGGTCTGAATTTTTTTTTTAATTGATTTCTTTATACACACAAGAACTGGGGTATAGGCCAGAGATGCAGGGTAGGTGAAAGGACTCACCAGAGACAGAGTAGGGAACAGAACAGTTAGGCTGACTGAGATATACTCCTGAGGAGAACAGCGGGGAGACAAGAAAGGTCTGCTGCACCACATGGAACACCTCCCGGGCCAGGGATTGAACTCTGCTGCAGTGGCTGTGGACAGCCTCATAGTGCTGCACTTTAACTAGCCCTTGTGCCACCAGGGAGGGCCCATCCTGGGTCTGAATTCTTTTTTTTTTTTTTTTTTAAAGATTTATTTATTTGTGCATACAGTACTGGGGTATAGGCCAGAGGCTCAGGGGTGGTGAGAGGCTTCACCAGAGACGAGTGGGGAACAGAACAGGCAGATCGATGACGTACACTGCTGAGGGGAGCAGCAGGCGGGTCAGGAGAGGCCTGCCACACCATGTGGTCACCTCCAGGGCAGGCGGGAATCGAACTCATGCAGAAGCGGCTTTAGATTCTCAATGCTGTGCTTTAACCCGCTGCGCCACCAGGGAGGGCCTGGGTCTGAATTCTTAAAGGTCAGCTATTAGAGAGAAGCAATCAGGCCCTGGAAACACTGCAGCAACCCTGGTTTATACCAAGGAATGAACTGTTCGTGCACCATGAGGGCTTCTGGCCAAACCTGCAAGCACATTCATATCAGAAGCTTCTTATTAAATTAGAGTTAGTATGAAGACAAGTGGAACTCCTTAGACCTTTTGTTGTTTGGTTGCAGTTAGGCAAATAGGAGGCTGAGAAAATTGGGTGTAATTGGTGTCCCCAATGCCAATATGTATCTTCCCAGACAGTTTGGCAGATGCACAGGCATCTCCAGGCCACAGTTTCCCATAAAAACGGAGCCTTTCTCCAATTTGTCCTGAGTTTCCTCCTGGAAGAGGAGTTTCCTGGTGGAAAACCCAGGAAAAGTCAATGTACAAAATGGCCTCTGCAGGCTACACTGTTACTGAAGAACCTAAACACCCTCGACCGTGCTGTGCAGTGTGCTCACTCCTCACAAGCCCGGGTGCTGATGGGCTCTAGAGCAGCAGCGTGCCCACGTGAAGCCGGAAACTTGGACCTTAGCTGCTGGGAGCTGCTTCACAAAGTTTGTCATCTTGAAGCTTTTATTTCGACTTTATTTGCTGTCCAGGTAGCTTGGATTTTCTTTTTTTTTAGTCTTATCTGATTTTATTCTTCTTTCCTAGATAAATAATTGGCCCCATAAGCCAGTCAGTAAATATCAGTATGTTTTATTCCATATACATTTTTTTTTAAGATTTAATTATTTATGCATACAGAACAGGGGTACAGGCCAGAGGTGCAGGGGCTGTGAGAGGATTCACCAGAAGCAGAGTGAGGAGCTGAACAGGCAGATCTAGGAAGTACACTGCTGAGGGGAGCAGCGGGCGGGTCAGGAGAGGTCTGCCGCACCATGTGCACCTCCAGGGCGGGCAAGGATCAAACTCATGCTGAAGTGGCTTTAGCTTCTTAGTACTGTGCTTTAACCCACTGCGCCACCAGGGAGGGCTCTCCATATACATTTTTTAAAGATACTTTTTACTTGCAAGGTTAGGAGGACAGCTGCAAGGCTAAGCAGGGAATCAGAATATCCATTGTTTTGCTCCTGGGTCAATCACTGCCTGAGACTGTGGTCAGGGTCGCATTGCCATCATCTCTGAGCTGCAGCAGCAGATGGTACAGAAGCATGGAGCGCCCCATGCCCTCAGGTCTTGACCAGGAGCAAACAGTTCTCCCTGCATGGAAGTCCCAAGTCGCTGTGAGGGACACCTGCTTGCTGTTGTGTCAGGTTCTCAGGACCACCCGTGGTTCAAAGATTTACTAGGGAATCACAGTAGACAGTAGCGTGCATGCCATGGCTGATGATGGTAGCGGGACAGGAAGCAAAATTGGCCACGGGAAGAGCTTCACAATGGGGGCCTGGAGGAAAGCAGGCCCCGCTTCCAACGTCCTGTTCAGTGGAGTCACAGGGGCGCATTTCAGGCTGGGTGAAATGTTGCTAACCAGAGGAACTCGTTAGAAACTCAGCACCCACAGTTTTTATTGGGGGCCGATTACAGGCAGCCTCTGCCTGGCACCTACCCAAACTCCAGACTCCGGGAAGGAGAGCAGGTGTTCATCACAAACAACATTTTACAGCTTAGGCAGCGTAGGCTGTTTCTTATCAGACCTCCAATGGTGGGAACTCTTCCAGAACCCAGACTGCCAAGGGCCAGCCTTGCAAACAGGCCTTTCTAGGATGCCAGTCTGTTTTTTAACTCTAATCTAGATCCTTGTCCACAAGTCACTGGCAGAGATTAATACCTAGTCCAAAAGCAACTCCTGATAGACAGGCCCTAAGGAGGCCACCCATTCACGAGATGGTGCCAGAAGGCTCTGCCCATCCACTGGACGGTTCGATAAACCCACCCCAAAATGCTTACAAAATTTGAAAACATGTCTTGCAGCTTTTGTTTTTATATTCAGCAATATCATGGTTGCCATTCCATGTCAGATCTAATTGTCATGTTTAACAATCATACTTACACCATTGCATCAACATGCTAAAATATACTTTGCTGACTTGTTGAATGCAACAACATACCATAAAAAGTCATAAACTTTTTAAATATTTAAAATAAAGGAAAACAGTTAAGAATTTATATTAGATTTCACAGATAACTATAACTATTTCATAACTATTTCTACATTTGATAAACTAGAACTCTTCTATTTCCAGCCTGTGACCCAAACAACAAGCGTCTTCGTCAAATCAAGGACCAGATTCTAACAGATTCTAGGTACAATCCCAAGATCCTCTTTCAACTGCTCTTGGATACTGCACAGTTTGAGTTTATCCTCAAAGAGGTAAATAATAATCATAATAATAATTGATCACAAGTCCTCATTTTTTTATGCTTAAATTATGTTGGAAGATTAGGATTTAGTAGCAGGGGCTTGATTCAAGCTGAAGATTCTAGCTGTCTGAAATAGTTTATAGTGGAAAAGGACAGAATTAAGCATCATGAGCATTCAGCCTCCTCCTTTCCACAGTAGCCAGTCTCCCTACCCCCTTGCTCATGGCTCAGTAGTCGTTTGATTCATCAACGTCATGATGTTGATGAAAGAACTGAGGGGAAAGCCAGTCTTCATGCGCGTAACCTCTTGGGAGCCCACTGAGACAAACTCCCTGGAGCTGTGTGACATACCTTCACTACGTTTTTCAAGTTTGATTCAAGAAAAAAACTCCAAGTTGGAGTTACACCATCTCTCCTCTGCCCAGCTATTTATAGAGGATTTGAGTGTTATGAAGGAGTAAATCGAAAAGCAAAGTACTGTGTAATCAGACAAGAAGGCACTTTTGTAGATAATTGACTTCATTCTCCAGTCATCAACAAGATAATGCTCAACTTTCTCTGACTGAGTAAATTGGAATCGCAGAAATTGTGACCCAGAAAGGACCTTAGCTTTTGCCAAATTGAATGTTGTATTTTAAATGCTGACTCCTGGGCCTACCAGAACCTTCTGAACCTGGGTCTTAAGGAACTGGGAAGTCTGAAAACTTTAAAGGGCTCCAGGTAAAGCTTCTGTACGGGGCCACTGTCTTTGTGACAGTCACCTTTTCCCCTTCATTTGTATAGAGTGGCAAAGGCCTACGAGGTGGCATCAGGGTAGTGTCCACTGTCAGTCTCTTTTTGTAATGAGGCGGTTTCACTCAGGCTTTCCTGGTAAACTGCCTAACCTGAATGTTCTCTTCAGCAAATGAATCTGTCCTGTCGCCTCACCAGATGTTCAAGCAAATGCTTTCAGAGAAGCAAGCCAAGTGGGAGCATCACAAGAAGGAAGGCTCAGAGCGGATGACCGAGCTGGCTGACGTCTTCTCAGGAGTGAAGCCTCTCACCCGAGTGGAGAAAAATGGTAATTGCTGGGGAGCAAGTATGGTGTGTTTGATGAGTACGCACAGATTACTGGGAACCGGCAGAGTGAAAGGCCTGTGTCACCTTCGGTGTAAACCAAGATGTTGTGATGAGGCCTGAGTTGTGTGGTGCTGCTCCAGCTTTGTGCTCTTCTTGGGCAGACTTCCTAGCCTGTCTGGACTTCCGGTTTCTTTGTAATACGAAGTTAGGCTAAGTCAGGGGTTCTCATACTGAAGTTGATAGCCGTTTTTGTTTTTTGTTTTTTGTTTTTTTAAGATTCATACAAGAACTGGGGTGTAGGCCAGAGGTGTGGGGGGAGGAGTGAGAAGATTCACCTGAGTCAAAGAGGGGAGCTGTAGAACAGGCACTTTGAACAAAACACTGCTGAGGGGAGGAGCAGAAGAGACGGTAGAGGTCTGCTGCCTCATGGGGGTCAGCTCCCTGGCGGGGATCAAACTCTGCAGATAGCTTCCTAGTGCTGATGCTTAACCCCTTGTGCCACCAGGGAGGCCCTCAAGTTCATAGTCTCAATGGAATAATAATGCATCCCTCACCACCAGAGTATGCAAATGAGGATATTAGCTTATATGCACCTGGGAAGAGGAGGGGAGGGGACTGGTATTATCACAGCCTCAGGAGGATGCTGCACCCAAGAATATTAATAACTTTGAATATAGGTAATATCTAAGATTCCTTCTGAGTGTTTGGTTTTTTGGTTTTTGTTTTTTTTCCATTGATACACCTGCCACCTAGTGGCAGAAGTGAGATTCTGCAGAGTTTTAAAAATCCCATGTACTATACAGCTCATGTACTATTGATGCTTGAACCGTTTTAGTCCTGCTCCTTTTAGGCTGTCTTGTCAATAGAAAAATTTTAATAATGCTTGAGATTTTTATATCTTAGATTTTAGATAAGAATTTTTCAAGCTACTCCCGAAAGACCATTTTGAATATTAAAGTGATAGATAAATACCCTTTGTAATGCTTGATGTTTAACTGTCAAATTCAAATCTGGTTATTACCTAGTTATAGTACAGTTTTTCATTCAAAACCTTATTTTCAGTGAGTTTGTGATTATTGTATTTGGCTTTTGTCAACTTTTATGATACTGAGTGGGCAATCTAAAATACATTTCCAAATTACATTATTATTGCTATTGGAAAAAGTTGTCCAGTTCTTAATAATCTGATATAAATTGGCAATGTGTACGGCAGCTCACCCTACTATGTCTAAAACACAAAAGAGCCATGGGTAACCATCTGACCAGCCATACCCTTCAGCTCTGTTCTACTCTCTTTGGGGGCTTATCAGGACCATCACCGTCTCAGAGGTCATTCATAATTAACCACTTGGTATTTTTTTCTGGCTTGATAGCGTATTTCAGCTTAGGAAGTACTTTCATCAATATTTCTTATTTAATCCTTCCAACCCAGTGAGATAAACATCTTTAGCCTTACTTTATCTGAGAGAGTAAGCTCTGAGAGAAACAGAGCTTAAAAAGGTCAGTGCTTACCAGAGCTGACAGAGGTCTGGAGGGATTAGCAGATCACTGCAGCCTCTGAATCTTGTGCTCTTTCCACTGCTCCATAGCGGTTCCTCAGTCCTACAAAAAATTTTAACTCATGTCAATTCCTGAAATAATTTAGATTTTAAATGACTAAGTGATCTTCTTAGAGTGAAGTCATCCCATTGCTAAAATAAACAGATCCCTTAGGCCTTGACTTGGAGAGATGCAAAGAGCCAGCCTTGGAATCTGGACAGGCAGTTGTGAACATTCTGGCTCCCCAGGTAGCTGGTAACCCCACACACCCTGTCTCAGGGTGTTAGCTGCTTCATCAGGAAATGGAGAATTCCTTCTACACAGACTGTTGTAAGTTTGAGTGGAACAAAGCTTAGACCTTTCTTTGCCTGAGCTCTCTGAGAGGCTCGGAGGGGGGCAGTGCCCACACCTGTATCAGCTCTGGGAAATGCTGACTAGCTTGCGAAAGCCTGAACCACCCAAACTGTCCCACTGTCCCCCAGCCCAACACTCAGTCCCCAGACATCCGACAGGTGGTATCCTCTTTGCCATTATCATTTTACCCCAAAGCCTCTGCTCCTGTTTGTCCCTTCATCTGGGGACAAACCACCTCTCTGAATCTCTGCTCAGATCCGTGCCATCCCCACTTCCCCCGAGAAGTCTTCACCGTTAGTGTGTGTCACATTTTTTGGTCCCTTCCCACGACCTCTGTCATCTTTGTCCATATCCATTTACAACATGCTTCCTGGCCCTTAAACCTTCCTGACAGATGCCATAGACTAAGCTACTATGTTGACAGTTTCCTCTCTCCTGATGGGTCACTTGCCTGGCGTTTTGTTATCATTTGGAGAATTCCTAGAGCACTGCAGGCACATGGGAAAAGCTCTGAGTTTGAACTGTATCTGTAAAGGATCTTTAACTAAATTTCTAAGCCATAGCTACACCGTTTCTGGGATTTCACTCATCTCTCCTTTGTTTGTGTGTTAATAGAAAATCTTCAAGCTTGGTTCAGAGAGATCTCAAAACAAATTCTGTCTTTAAATTATGATGATTCAACTGCTGCAGGCAGGAAAACTGTGCAGCTCATCCAAGCTTTGGAGGAGGTAAGGAGCTATTTTCAGATGGCGATTTCTGGATCTTATTGTATCTTTCACACACCCAGCAGTCTGCTCTTAGAAATACATCTTAAGGAAGATATCATCAGAACCAAAGCAGTATGAATCAATGGGCTCACTATAATGCTGTACGTGGTGTCCTCAAATTGGAGAAATGATTAAATAACCAGTGTAAAGAGAATAGTAGCAAAAGTTAATTTTAGTTTGTGAAAACATGTAGCCTTGGAGAAATAACTAGGACAACTGTAAAGGAACATCGTGGTAAAGATATAAAAGCAAAAACAAAATGCCAGTATGGTTATCATTTTTAGGTTCATAAAGAGTGCTTGGTTGGGGTGGGGGGGGGTCATGTCTAGTAAGGAATATAGAAATATGAAAATAGTTGTATAATGATTATATGCTTTTAAGTATTGTTGTATCTGTTGAAAAAAATAGTTTTTAGGTAGTCAAAAATGATTGTTTCCCAAAAAATAAACTATACCGCCATACTCTAAAAAATTTTAATTATGTGTTTAACTAGGTTTGAAATAGAAAGTAAACAAAATCATCACAACAAATACTATAAACTTTTGAGGGTGGGGTGGGAAGGGGAAATCAATGACTCAAATGAAGGATTTTGCCAAGAAATTGTTAGTACATAGCAGTCTTTGAAGTGTTTTTCAAGAGAAAAACAAACCCGAAAGGCCGTGCAGAATTCAGAAGTGAATGCATCTGTGTAATACAGGTTCAGGAATTTCACCAGCTGGAATCAAATCTGCAAGTATGTCAGTTTCTTGCTGATACCCGCAAGTTTCTCCACCAAATGATCCGAACCATCAACATCAAAGAGGAGGTCCTCATCACTGTGCAGATCGTGGGGGACCTCTCTTTTGCTTGGCAGTTAATTGACAGGTAACCTGCACCGCCTGGCATCTGCCCTGGCTGAAGGGCACCGCCAGCAGCCCCTGACCATTCCTCTTTCTGCAGCTTCACATCTATCATGCAGGAGAGCGTCCGAGCCAGTCCCTCCATGGTGACTAAACTCAGAGCCACGTTCCTGAAGGTGAGCAAAACCTGTACGCGCTTCCTCGGTACTTGTCGCCAAGAAAGACTGGCCTGCGTCATGGCAACAGGCCCCCCAGTGTCACCCTTTCCACTCTGTGTCATTGAGCAAAGACGATCCCAGCCAAAGGCGAGTGAAACTGGTGTCCAAGCGCCTGCTTTGGTTACACGCCTACAGTCAACATTTACAGGCCAGAGTAGGTGATTCCAGGATCAGTGATGAATGAATATCTCATTCATTCAGCCCAGATTTCATCCTTTTAGAAAGTTCAATCACTTTATACCAAAAATCGTCCGCAGTCTTTCCATAATAGCATCATTTCAGACTATGAAAAGTTCTGCCAGCCGGCTAAATGTGAGTCCAATGGGCATAAAGATATTCCCTGACATGCTTCCAATCCTTTCACTTACTCATTTAAAAAATAAAGTATTTCGTAAGCTCTGCTGCAAATTAGGGTCTCCTCTAAGGATCGGGGGACAGTGGTAACAACACAGGCCTGGCCACTCCCAGGTCAATCGCAGATCATGATAAACAACAAATAGTTTACTTCTGTCTTCTGACAAAATTACCATCTCTCTATATGCCATATGTTATGTCCATTTTTTTAACAGCTTTTTTTTGCTTTTTAAATTTTTTCTGTTTACTTCAATTTTACGCTTTCATATTTTAGCAGTTCTAGTAGCAGGGTTATAATTGAAAGATCATCTTAGTTTAGCTGTCAACATGTTTTCTGTGAGTGGCCCACTGATAATGGCACTTTGTAACATGCTGTGACACCTTAGGTTGGACCCGTGAGGGAAAGTCTGCCTTCCACAGGGAGTAACTGTCTCTGTAGCCTCACAGGGCCTTCAAACAAGCACTTGCAAACTTCCCAGACATCCACAGGTCCAGAGACCACATTTTGAAAACCACTGTCACAGCAGGTGACTGTTATTTTTAAAAACTTGTATCATTATCAGAAACTGTTCTCAACCTTGATGAAGGTCAGTGCTTGTTCTGTCCCTGGGGAAAGCCCAGGAGCTTTGTGCAGGGTGCCATTTCTAAAAAGAAAAGAATTCTGGGACTTTTGAAAGCAGTAACAGATGGATATTATTTTCCTTTCAGCTTGCCTCTGCTCTGGATCTTCCTCTTCTTCGTATTAACCAAGCAAATAGCCCTGACCTCCTCAGCGTCTCTCAGTATTATTCTGGTGAATTGGTGTCCTATGTCAGAAAGGTAAGAAATGCATCAAGGTGGTGTTAGCAATGGTGGTGTCCTTGGCAAATGAACTGCTGTTTTAAATAACACAGGTGCGCCTGGGCCCGTAGGAACATGCCATGTTCCTTGGTCTTATTAATTTGACTCCATAAATTTGCAATACCTGAAAATAAACTTAGTTTTTCAAAGAACTTATATACCAATTCTTTTTTTTTTTTTTAAAGATTTATTTATTTGTTCATACAGAACTGGGGTACAGGCCAGAGGCTCAGGGGCGGTGAGAGGCTTCACCAGAGACAGAGTGGGGAGCAGAACAGGCAGATGGACGAAGTACACTGCTGAGGGGAGCAGCGGGCGGGTCAAGAGAGGACTGCCGCGCCATGTGGATCACCTCCGGGCAGGCGGGGATCGAACTCATGCTGAAGTGCCTTTTTCATGCTGAAGTGGCTTTAGCTTCTTAGTGCTGTGCTTTAACTCCTGCGCCACCAGGGAGGGCCTTATACCAATTCTTTTAATAGCTATTCCTTAAGTGCTGCTGCTGCTAACCCTCATCGTTAGACAGAGAAACAAACCACCTGTACGATTGCATCTCCAAAGGAAGAGCCATTGGCTCAGGGGTTAAAGCAGAGCACTAGGAAGCTATCTGCAGCCACTGCAGCAGCAATTCAGTCCCCAGCCAGGGAGCTGTTTGCACACACGCTGCCTTACTGTCGGCCTCGTCCTATCTGCTAAGAAATCTAAGTCAGTGTATTATTTCCTCTTGCTCCTGTTTCCATGAGTTCAGTTTTTCCCTTTTCTATTTACTTAAGGTTTTGCAGATCATTCCAGAAAGCATGTTTACGTCTCTCCTAAAGATCATAAAGCTTCAGACCCACGATATCATTGAAGTGCCAACCCGCCTGGACAAGGACAAGCTGAGGGACTACGCCCAGCTGGGCCCACGATATGAGGTGCTGTGTCGCTTAACTTCTGCCACTTGATGCTTGGCACCAGAACACAGGAGAGGCCGCAGGCCCATGTCCCCTTCCACGCCCCCAGGACCACCTGAGCAGCTGTGATTTGTTTTTCACTGACTTGTCCTGGGGGCCTGCAGGCCTGCCTGGCACTCTGTCCACTAAGACTTGGATCGCCACTGGCTACTTTGTTTTGAACAGTGTTGGTGAATCAGCCCTTCTCAACGCCTAGACTTCTCCATGTTCAAATTCCTATATCGTGGCTCAGAGTAATCCCGATTCCATCAGCCCTTCCTCCAGCCAGACATTTTAAGCCCACTCAATACTAAAGAAGCCTCAGAAGTTGTTCTTTGCTTGCTCAACTTTGTCCTTGAACTTAAACATGGAGGTTGTGAAAAGTGAAATCGAAAATGTGGTGTTCAGTGTCGATGTCACATCCTCCGCCTCAGCTCCAAAGCTTGCAGCCAGAATCTAAAGTTTCAAGTGCAGAATTTCTGCATTAATCTAACTCAAAAATACAGCACCAGTTTACATTATTAATGTCTCCTGGCTTTGCTCAAGTCCAGGAGCCTTTTCTTCCAGGTAGGGACTGACCCCTTCAAGGAGTCCAGCCCTCATTTTGCCCATGAGAAACTGGAGGGGGATGAACATTAAAAGACTAAAGTTTAACATCCGTCCTTCAGCACATGCAACAGGGATCTCTCGATTCCACAGAGCCTCACTTTGACCAGGCTTGTGCACTCGGGGGTCCTAAGACACCCACTCCTGCCGTTTTTGCCCCTTCCAATTATCCGGTTATTTTAGCTTCCCATAGACGTGATCGATCTCTCACAAAAAAGGAACACTGTTGACCTCTTTTTCCTTTGTTAAAGGTGGCCAAGCTTACTCACGCGATCTCCATTTTCACTGAAGGCATCTTAATGATGAAAACCACCCTGGTTGGCATCATCAAGGTAGGGTTCAGGTGCTCACCTCTGGGGTCTCGCCGTCAAACTGTCGTGGGGTTCACCCCACAGGGAGCAGTGAGGGACGTCCGTCTCTCATGTCCCTTGCTGCTGCACACTCCGCTGTTGGTCCTCACGTATTGATGGGGCAAGAGAGCCTCTTCCTTATTTCTCACAATACCTAAGAATTATTTAACCCAAAAATCCACTTTCTCGCTTCCCTGCTCCACCCTTTATGTGTGCTACTGAGCATCGGCCCCAGGCGTGAGCAGACTATCACACCCCTCTTCAGGCCCCTTTTCACACTATGCTCCCCATTACCCTAAATGATGGCTTGCTAAGCATGGCCCCAGGAGGCCTGTCCCAGTGTTTCCTGGGAGCCCAGGAAGGAATGGGTCACTGTGTTAGACCATGCTTACATTGCCTCGATGCTGCCAGTTTGCCTTCGAAAGTAACTGTTTCCTGCCTGTCCACCCTCATGTCTGCCACCTTCTGATATCGCGCCCGAGGGTGTGAAGTGGCATCTCACTGCCACGTAGTTGTCATAACGACTTGTGCTGTGCCCTCGTGTATTCCGTGGTGCTTTGTTTTCCCATCTAAGTGACATCAGCAGAGTCTGAGTATTTCTGACCTTGAAAAATTATATCGAATTGGCAGTTCAACAGTTCTGTTAATAAAACTCAAGGAAATATAGGAAAGGCACCTAAGTAGAAAAGGAACTTTAGTGTTTGGTTCTGGAAAGGTGCTCCACTGTCCCCCTGGAACCCATTCAGCGTGCTCACCGTGTCCTGGCCTTGATACCGCCTCTAACACCACATAGTCCAGGACGCAGATTCGACCCCCGGTGCACCTTGTCAGAAAGCACCCAAGGCCTGTGGCTTGTTCTTGCCCCAGTTTAGATTTTGCTGGTTTTGCTGGCTGTCGTGCAGTCACCCAGCGTGTTTCTCTGACTTGTATTTGTTAACATTCATTGCAGTTGTCTTTCTTGAAGTTTGAACATAATCAAATCCAGATGGAACCCATCAATTGTCTTTGTGACTTTTGAAAACAGTGGTTCCTTATAAATGGAAGGGAAGATGTTTCAGGGAGTTCAAAGGAGTGTTGACATGATTTGACTTTTAGGGATTTAATAGGAGACTGTCTTCTAGGAAATAAAAGCTTTCTCATTACAGGAAAAAGAGTCATCAAATAAGTCACAGAGTTAGAGACCAGCTTTGCTTTCCTATTCTAGTGCCCCACTTACAGGCAGTGTCCACAGAACGAAGAAGGAAGAGAGAGCTGTTAAGTCTGCTGTGACCTACCTCTGGTGGCAAGCCCACAGGCTGGCAAGGTGGGGGGGCCCAGAGGCTTGGCCCTTCCAGCCCCACGAAGCTCTTTCTCTGGGCGTGCTCTTGCTCGTCGCCTCCTGTTTCACCTCTTCTGCAGTCACTTCTCTAGCCCTCTCCCTGCCGCCACTGCCTCGGCTCTTCTCCCCACCTCTAGGCTCAGGTGTGCACTCACACATGCGCACAGCCACACTGCAGGTGTCCAGAGTCAGGCACGCATGCCCACGCGCCACATTAGCACCACCGCGGCCGCAGGTGAGAGCCGCAGAGGCCAGCGGGGTAAAATCTGCTTGATCACTTACCCTACATGACCCACCCTGCAGCAGACTTGGGGGAGGCATAGACGCTGCGGGAGCATCCAGAGGAAAAGGGAGTTGAAATCCAGGGTAGGCCCTTCATCCCCCGCCCACCTCACCATGACAAGAAAAAATATTTTTTACTTGTAATGAATGATTGAAATGTGAAACAATTTAAGACTTCCTGTGCCACCATCTTTGAAATGCCGTGTTATGAAATTATCATCATGAATTTTAAGGAGATAAACTAAGGCCTAAAGAGGGGACAGTTTTAATGATTCTTAATTTAATGATCTTACCCAAGTTGTGTAAGATCAAAGAGAGACAAAGGAAAAACGGCCGCGGCCACTGAGAGATGAGGTAGCAAAGTGCCACCCCCGGAGGCACCACACCTTCCCTGTGGATTTGGTCAAGACTGAGCTTTTCCTCTTATTCACACTTAGGTGGATCCCAAGCAGCTGCTGGAAGATGGAATCAGGAAGGAGCTAGTTAAGCGTGTTGCTTTTGCTCTTCACAGGGGATTGATCTTCAACCCCAGAGCCAAGGTACCCCATGACCACAGTGCTTCTGCCCTTGCTGTCTACTGGCTGCAGAGCTGGCTGGCCACGCTGGCTCTCCGGAGGCCCTCTCCGCCTGCCTGAGGGAGCTAGAAGGTGTCTAGTACATCTGCTTGTGTGCCGTTTGAGCCTGGACTGTGAGCCATTCATTTCATCAGAAAATCCTTGTTAAAACCAGTCCTTCTTGCCTTTACCTGTTTTCCCCAGGTTTAAGATATGACCTGACATCTGTGATTCAGTAACGTTAGAGTGCAGACTTTGTTAACCGTATAGCAGACAGGAACTAGCAGGCTGTCATTTTTTTTTAATTTTGCTTCTTCTCTTAGAGTGTGGTGATTTTTCTCAGAAGAAAAAGAACAGGCCTGAAATGTATATAAAGCATAGTTTTCACCTCAGTAAATGCAGTTGAAAACAGTTTGAGTGTTTTAAGACTAGATATAGTCATCAAATGATGTGAGAGAAATCATCAGCTTTCTCACTTTATGTTCTTCCCAAATGAGGGAAACCTATTTTTTGCTGTCTCTCATCACTTACCACTCATCACAGATGAAGTAGGAGATGAGTATTTCCAAAGCTGTCTTCAGCTGTCAGTGTGGTCTCTCAGTTGGAGTACCATTTAGAGTCTTAACACAGAACTCAGTGGCTGACTTTCTAATACAGTAGTTTTTTGGGCCCTCCCTGGTGGTGCAGTGGGTTAAACCACAGCATTATGAAGCTCTCCACTGCCCTTGGATCCCCGACCAGGGAGATGACCCACCTGGTGCAGCAGACAGATCCCTCCTGTCCCGCCCGCTGCTCCTCTCAACAGTGTATTTCAGTGGATCTGCCTGTTCTCCCCACTGTGTCTCTGGTGAATCCTCTCACAGCCCCCCACCCCACACCCTGCACCTCTGGCCTATACCCCAGTTTCTGTATAGACAAATAAATCTTTAGAAAAACTAATAATAATAAAATGGCTTTTTTGTTCCTCCTGCACAGCCCAGCGAACTGATGCCCAAGCTGAAAGATCTGGGAGCCACCATGGATGGCTTCCATCGTTCTTTTGAATACATACAGGACTATGTCAACATCTACGGCCTGAAGATTTGGCAAGAAGAAGTATCTCGTATTATAAATTATAACGTAGAGCAAGAGTGCAATAACTTCTTAAGAACAAAGGTATCTAAACAAACTCAAGTTCTTGACTGTAGGTGTTATTTCTCAGGTATAGAAGACATGCCCTAACCCTCAGCTGTGCCAAGAAGAAAGTCTATTTACACAGTTACTACGAACCCATAAGCACTAGCTAGTCAAGAACACCTCCGGGATCACGATGCTACATAAAAGTGGATTTGCTCCCCACTCTTGAACATTTCCAGTTCTAAGGAGAAAGCAGATATAATTACATGGCTGGCTGTAGAATTCAGCTAGAATTGCCCTTGTTCTAATCCCAGCTGGAGAGTTCTGAAGACTTAGGACATCAGTTCTGCTCAGCTAGAGCATATACTGAGCAGGTGTTCATGTGGCCCTTACTGATGAACCGCCAAACCGGTTTCCACACAGGCTGCAGACACTGTTTTACATTCCCCCTCCCCCCACCCCCACCCCACCCCGGCAGTGTCCGAGGGTTCCAGTTTCTCGACATCCTCATCAGTATTTATTGTTGTCTTTTTTAAAAAGCTTCTAGCCATCCTGCTGGATGTAAACTGGCTTAGATTTGCATTTCCCAGTGACTGATAATGTCAAGAATCTTTTCATGTGCTTTCTGGCCATTATGGCCTTTGGAGAAATGTCTATGCGAGTGCTTTGTCCATTTTTTATTCTTAAGTACCCAGGCTAAGAAGTTTGGTTTTAGTCAGTAAATAACATTCTATGTTTTCAGTCAGGGAACTGACTCAGGTGACATTTTGAAAGGCTAAGTACCTTCCAGCCTTGTACTAGTTGAGGTTTTGTATTGTGCTGATGTTAACACTTAAGTTCCTATGTCTCGTCTCACTTCTCAGACACTTCACTTTTTGACACATTTCCTCTTTTTAAATGTTACATGAGGCATTTCTGGAAAGCTGTCAGTGCAGTGTTAAGTTTCCTTTTCAAAATCAAGGAGCTTTTATTTTCTCACTTTCATCATCATTCTTCATGCAATCTTCTTTTAGACAAGTGGCCAGTAAGCACATGAAAAGATTCTTGACATCATCAGTCACTGGGAAATGCAAATCTAAGCCAGTTTACATCCAGCAGGATGGCTAGAAGTTTTTTTTTAAAAAGACAATAAATACTGATGAGGATGTCAAGAAATTGGAACCCTAGGACACTGCCAGGGGGAGATTATTTGGGGGAAAGATAACTGATATGCCTTATCAAAGATGCGCTTAATATTTATGATTTTGTTCTCCAGATTCAGGACTGGCAAAGTATGTACCAGTCCACCCATATTCCGATACCAAAGTTTACCCCTGTGGACGAGTCCGTAACATTTATTGGTCGACTCTGCAGAGAAATCTTGAGGATCACAGACCCAAAGTAGGTGTATCTGTGTTCTGTGGGCCTTGGACACTGGACAGTCAAAGCTCCAAACGTACGTCCCAAAGCATCTGCACCAACAGCTGAGAGCCGTTAAGTGGCGGCTGAGGGTGTGGTGCCGGAAACAGGCTTCATCCACGGTAAAATAAAGGCCAGTGGCACATCTACCACAGAGGCACCCTGAGGATGAAGGTGGTAACACACAGAAAGGTCTTGGCGTGGTACCTGACACAAGTGGACGCTTAATGCTGTCAGCTCCTGTCTTTCCATAATCCCTGCCCTGACTCTGCAAGGGATCATTGGTTGATGACCAGAACTGGGAGGAAAGAGGAACTGGCTTTGTTATCATAGATAGGACACCAAGATTTGAAATTCCTTTCTTACCAACATGTAGATGACAAAGTTCTGTTTTGGCCCCAATCTCTAGAAGTTTAGAGAAAGACTGAGAGAAAGCTAGACTCTAAGGTCTCCCGTCCTGACAACCAAGTTAACCTTGTCCTATCAACATGTCTCTAAAACAGTAGAGAAGATTAACCAAACCAGTGATATAGCAGGGGACAGAAAAAAATAATAATTTCAATTTTACCTTCCTGGCCTACTGGGTGCCTCACTGCAGTGGTTATTCAAACACAGGTCGTGCAACGGCTAGTCTCCCTATTTGGAGACTCCTGTTGTCCTCTCATCCTGTAGAGAATTATGCCTTTTTCCCCACACCGCGCCCTTAACCACCACTTTCATGGTTCTCAGCTGTTGGTGTGTGTGCTCAGGGAATCCTCCATATTTGGCCTCAGTCCTTTTGTCTCTCACCTCTCGCGAATGCATTCTCAGCTGCCTTGAGATTTTGAGTTTGTCTCATCTTTCTTTTAGAATGACATGTCACATTGACCAGCTGAACACTTGGTATGACATGAAAACTCATCAAGAAGTTACCAGCAGTCGCCTCTTCTCAGAAATCCAGACTACCTTGGGGACATTCGGGCTGAATGGCTTAGACAGACTTCTGTGCTTTATGATTGTCAAGGAGTTACAGGTAAGTGGGTGACTCCTGCTTCCTTGGAGAGAGTAGCTCATTATCTTTTTTGTTGGTGGTGGCATGAATTATTTATCAAGAATAAATATCCCTTATCCCCAATTTCTTATTTTCTGCTATTGACACAGGACCCAGGGAAATTCTTTATGCTCCAAAATCACTTTGCCCTCTGAAAGAGACCCAACCTTCCTCCTCTCCTCAAAATCTCTCATGGAAGTATCATTTCTGTAGAAATCTAGATGCCTTCTATGTTGGTTCAGCCACAGCGAGCTTAGAGAAAGCTGCATCCACAGTCAGTGAATGCACCAGCACCATGAAATGGCATTTGCAGGGTCAAGACCTCACATCTGAGAGGCTTCATTACCTCACTGAAAGCCACAGCAGTTATTCTCAACACTGACATCCCCAGGCTCATTTTAACTTGCTTTCTTGCTCCCCATGCTTATGACATCAGGCATAAATGTGATTCCTGTTTGATAAGAGCTTAAAATAAACTAGAATTTCTTCATATTTTTTGTGGGGAGGCTATTTTTGAGATTTTTCATCTTGGAAGACATGACTGCCTTTGAAACCAGCAACTTCCCCCAATAGCGGACGTTGCTAGTAGGAACCGGAAGTTGCCGCTCCCCTCTCATCCCATGCCTAGCATTGGATGTGCTGAATCACTTGGGTCTGTCTGTGTTCTGCTCGCATTTTGACTACTGGGGACATATATTCATTTTATTCACTGTGTTTCATTTTTGCTCATGCCTTCTTGTTTCAGAATTTCCTGAGTATGTTTCAGAAAATTATCCTTAGAGACAGAGCTGTGCAAGATACCTTAAAAACCCTCATGAACGCTGTCAGCCCCCTAAAAGGTATTGTAGGTAAGTGTTCTGGAAATAACCTGAGGCAAAGAGAGCACTGTAGGCTTTCCAGATTTACTAAACAAAATTTCATTTTAACCTTTCAGCAAATTCGAATAAAATTTATTTTTCCGCCATTGCCAAAACACAGAAGGTTTGGACAGCTTACCTCGAGGCTATAATGAAGGTATGCTGTGGGAGAGGGTGAGGATACTGTTGTTGAAATTATTAGTTTTCCTATCACTTTCTTGTGAAAAAAAAAAAGCCACTCTTCTGTCATCAAAACAAAAATTGTTTGTCATTATTTCTAAAATCACTTGTTCTTGATCTTCCTTTCTGGGCATGCTCTTATTATGCTTTTCACTGGCTTCTAATTTTTCTTTCATGAGGAAACACTTTCTTTTTGAAAAGGATTGTGGCCAGAAGGACTTTCACATGAGGAAATGTGTGGAACTGGAATCTACCTCTTTCAGTCTTATTTCACAGCTGTTTATGTACGGCCCTAACCTGTTCTAAAGAGCTGTAGGAGCTGGGCATCTGTCTCTCTCCCTCTGGTGTCTGCACAGTGTTAAAAAAAAGTTGTTCAGAAGTTGGTCCCTGGTGGCACAAGGGATAAAGTGCAGCACTGTGAAGCTATCTGTAGCCACTGCAGCATGAGATCGATCCCCAGGCAGGCAGCTTGCCCACATGGTGTGGCAGACCTCTGCTGTCTCGCCCGCTGCTCCCCTCAGCAGTATATTTCAGTCAGTCTGCCTGTTCTGTTCCCACTCTACCTCTAGTGAATCATCTCACCACCTGCACTTCTGGCCTATAAATAAATAAATAAATCTTTTTTAAAAAGAAGAGTCAGTCAACTCTACAAATAGCCACATGTGGCTAGTGGCTGCTGTTAGTCAACGCAACTCTGGAGAAATCATGGAGAAAGAATGACAGGGTAGAGTTCTCTAAATAGGCAAATAGGTAGAAAGAGCTTATCCTCCAGGCTTCTTAGAATATTAAAGGTTTGTAGTAAGCAAGCACCAAAAAGAAACTGTTGGTGACCAAGATTCAACATGATTTAATGGAGAACAAGTATGGCAAGCTGCTTTTATTTGTCTCCCTCTCTAAGGTTGGTATTTTCAAGGGAGTCCATAACTGAGCATCTGGAGTTAACAGGAATTATATGGATCAGATAGAGAATTGGAGGGACATTTTTTGCGTAGCCTAAAAGGGACCCCTAGTTTCTTAGTCTTGCCATAGTCTAACTTTAAAGAACATTGTTTTTTAATTAACAAAAGATTTCTTATTTAAAAATAACATTTTGGGGGATGGACTTTTATTTTCTTCACCTAAGAATAAGAGTAGTGGTTGAAAGAAATACATGTGAGGTTATCTGACACTCTTAACCGTTGTAGATGTCAGTACTCAAATACCTTTTCTTTGCTTTTAAAGAAGGCTACTCTTTTTTTCTTTTCTCAGCTCCCAACACCTCAGAAGAAAGTGTTCCTTTCCACCTTGCTGGCATAAGACAGCCTTCCATCCTATTTCTCCTGTCTCCCTTACTAACCTTAAGATCTGCTTTGTTAAAATAGTCAAGAGAAAATTTACTGGCACAAAAAGTTAGACGAATGTGTTGACTTTAAGCAAACTCAAAGTATTGACTTGGGATCCATCCAGTCATCAGAAATGTTCCAGGGCCTTGGAGTTGGCCCTGGAAATCCTTCCTTTTTCCAGAGTGAGGGCACCCTTCCTGTAGACACTCACCCTAGTGTTCACCCCCTTACTCTCACTTTGAAGGTGTTAGCAGTCGACCTATTCTCGCTCTTGCTTGTCACAGGTTGGGCAGATGCAGATTCTGAGACAGCAGATCGCCAACGAATTAAACTACTCCTGTCGGTTTGACTCCAAACATCTGGCAGCTGCTCTGGAGAATCTCAATAAGTAAGTGCCAGCGTTTGAAACATCTGTGGGCCTAATTTGTTCCTCACCGGGCAGCATCCCCATTTCTCCACTACCTTTGTTTTAAAGCTCTTGTTGGGTAGGAAACTTCCCTGATTGATAAGCTTCTTTCTCGTGGATTAATCGCTCATGTCTCCAACAATCTCTTCCTTAGTGTTTCTCCTTTCTCCCTCCTTTCCACCTTTTCTCCCCCTCTTTCTCCCTCCCAGCCCTTTCCCCTCTCCTCCCTCTCTCTCCCTTCGTCTCTCTCCCCTCCTCCCCCCCCCCGACCAAACATTGGAAGTGG